AAAGTTCATCTTCTTGGCTCTAAGCCGTTTGTGATCTATACAGATCATGCATCACTACGCACTGCGACCCAGTCGTCTCACCTCTCTCAGAGAATGGCTCGTTGGCTTTCCTTCTTTGCCGAATGCAACTTCGAGGTGAAGTACAAGCCGGGCAAGCAGAATGCTTTGGCTGATGCGTTTTCACGCAGGCCTGACTATGAGCTTGCTCATGTTACGACTCTGTCGTCGCCGGTCACTGACCTAATTCGTACGGCATATGCCAAGGATGAACACTGTGTAGCTCTTCTACGTGCTCTAAGGAGCGAGGAGTTCAAGGAATCAGACATAGAATTGTCGGCACGTTTACGTGGGAGGCTACATCGATATTCCATCGATCAAGGCCTGTTGTGATATAGCAAAGATGTTGAGGATACCCCTCGCATCGTTGTCCCTCATGGTAAGGAGTTGAAGTATCGGATCCTCTATGAGGCACATGATACTGCGTTGAGTGGTCATCTCGGTCGTGAGAATACCTACGGCTCAGTTAGCCAATGTTATTGGTGGCTCAAACTGTACAAGTGGGTCAGCATCTATGTGCGTACGTGTAAAATGTGTCAACGGGTAAAACCCTCAGCTCATGCGGAAGCGCCGCTGACTAGTTTGCCTGTACCCAAGGGGTGTTAGGAGTCCATCAGTATGGACTTCCTGTTCGGATTACCGAAAGATTCGAATGGAAACACGGGTATTGTGGTCTTTTTGACCGTTTGAGCAAGATGGCTCATCAATCGACGGTGCTGGACTCTATCGATTGTGAAGGTACAGCTACGCTGTTTATCGACCTAGTATTTAGACAACACGGTTTGCCGTTGGCAATTATATTTGATAGAGACCTTCGAATCACTGGGAAGTGTGGAAGTCCATTTTCAAGGTTCTCGGCACACGATTGGACATGTTCACAGAGGATCATCCGCAGACCGATGGTCAAAACTAGCGCTTGAATCGCATCGTCGGTGACATTTTGCGCACTGTTTAAGCTTAAAGGCCTAAAAGTTGAAGTTCGATGCTCCCTGTCGTTGAGTTTGCGTTGAATAACGCCGTGCATGCCTCCACCGGCTACACACCATTATACGTAAATGCTCTCACACATCCTCGCATTTCATTAACGCTATCACTACGTGGTTCAGGGATTGGTGGGTGAGGAGTTTCCGATCGGCTTGCTGATATCATCCCTGCTAATGTTCAGAAACAGGTAAGCGAGTTTCTTTCAACAAGATTGAATGTCTTACGACATGTGCGTGATACACTGACTAATAGACAAGCAGAAGGAACATGCAGTTTTTCAAAGGCAGATGTTGCATTGAAAGTTATAAGTTCGGAGACCAAGTTCTACTCAATGCTAAAAACCTACCTACAAATGTAGAGTCTGCTGTCTTCAAGACAAAGTTGCGCCCGCGCTTCATTGGACCATTCACGGTCGTGGCCAAGAAGGGACTTGCGTATACGCTCAGCCTTCCGCGCAAGTTACGCACACATCCCGTGTTCTACGCTGGCTTACTGAAGTCGTATCGGTATCCGTCCCACGTGAACTTGGAGGCGCTTGCGCCGGGTAGGTTGGCCTTGCCATCGGTTGCTGAATCCTTATTAGGAGGTCAAGCTAAGCCTCCATCCGGGTTAACCCAACTCCACTACTGAAGGCAATCTTGTGTCGCGTCAAGCGCAATCGGGGTCTTACCTAAAGTCTAGCGGATACAACTTACTTCGCGACGTAGCTTCTCAAGCTCTTCCCTCGGTATACCGACCTCTTTTGACTCTGCCCGATGAGCAAGGGAACTGCTAGTTCCATGTGGAGAGACTCCTGACACGACGACGTCGTCAGGGTCGATACCAGTATTTGGTGAAGTGGCAAGGGTACCGGGAGTCGGATTACTTATGGGAGTTTGAGAAACCTCTTTGGCAGGATTGCCCACACGCCTTGGATGTTTTTGAACATCGCGGCAAGGGTCTTCCTGTGACCAAAGACTCTTTTCATCAATAGGTGTGGAAGCAGGTAAGTAGTTGGTCACCGCTTGACCAACACTCACATCGGCCAGCACAGCCGGAGAATAGCGTGTGTAAGTTCTCAACTGGCGTCTGTCTTAAGCTTGGCGTGGCCATATCGAAGCTTTCTTTCTAGACAAACGTCTGCCACGTCGGCACTTGCTCTGAGAGCTAACACGCTGCTGAGGTGTCGTTTACGATGCAGTCAGCGAACGAACGCATTGTCTTCTTCCTCGTGTGATTCACCTGCGAATAGGAGGATGGAATATAAACTTTATCGGTGGAACCGGTGCACCCCGTGCTTGCGTGTCAAGCCGCAACTTATATTGACTTTGAGTCGTCAGATAAGGTTCCAGGTACTTCTCTCAAAGTGCCTGTCGACTTGCAACCTCATCAGGAGATGTGGGCTCAGCGCCAATGACCCACGTTTCCAATGAACGGCCTGCCGTTTGCGTACACGTTCTTCCACACTGAGTGGAGTGAACACATAGCTATGGCGGCTCTCAAGGGTTGCAGCAAGCAGTATAAGCCTCTGAGCGCTCTCCTCTCTTTGGATAGTTAACTTTTGTTGCTCATCGGGCGGATTGGTGGTAATTTCATCGCCCGCGTTAGGTGTTTGATGCTGCGCCGGTGGCGCTTTGGATTCGCCACGCTCGGCAAATTAGTTCGGTGCAGTATGAGGCGTTGCCTCTTGCACTGGTGAGTCGGACATTGCCCTCTCTTCACCATTAAGATTGGTATCGCTACCATAGTCCACCTCCACATCAATACCGAGGTAAGAAGAAAGAGTCGAATACTCGTCGGGTGGCGATGCCATTATGTTTTGTGTTTTGCAAATCGTGAAGTTGAAGCGCACACACACCGTCCTCTTTAATGAATGAATTCGATTAACATTTTGTGGTAACGTTATTCTGGTGGGGGAGGGTGTACCGGGGTTACGCGTCGACAGGTAGTCGACAATAGGTGTGGTCCACACAAGGTGTAGCGGGGTTACACGTCGACTGGAAGTCGACAATAGGTATGGTGCACGCAAGAGATGGGATCCCATTTAAAGTGATATTAGAACATTGTATCAATTGTTGAAGACTGATGTCTTTCAACCATTGATTACGAGATCTTGCGAGAGGTACGTATTAGAACATTAGTGTCTAGGTTAAGTACGTTGTTCTGAGGTGTTCGTTTAGATACAGAAAATAAACTCCAGTTCCCATTTTGATCCTTCAGACACGTGCCTCACGAGGCGTATTTGATCGTTAAGTGCTAGCATCGTCTGTGAAGGTAGCTGCTCTTGAGAACTATGTGCTGTGATTCTCTTGAATCGTTTGGTCCCCCTGTAACAGGTATCGTAAGCTCTCTGATCTTGTTGACTCTTTGAGTCATGTTTATTTGAACCAAAGTTGCTCATTGAGCGTTAAGTCTTCCTCTGGCTTCAGGAGCTGTGTAGTTCTGCTAAAAATGTCGTGGCGCGTTTCTCGTATCGCCGAATGTTTGTAGTGGCACCCTATCCTGTGACCGGGTGACGGCCACACGTCTGCTGGCCCTCTACAAGTTTTACGATGGGATATAACACATAGCAGACTGAAAGGCGAACTCAAGTATTTGGCTGTCGCAACCCACGAAAACTTGATTGGAATCGCCCGCACGTTTCAATCGGTAGTGTCATTCTCCATTTCACCGCACTCGACACATCCAACTACGCACAGTAGGAATCAACGCTACATACTTAAAGGTCAAGGGAATACTATTCGTCTTCGTCGTCGCCTCCACATGCGTTCCAGCCAACTCTTGCGAACAAAATCGCTATTGTACGGACGTCCATTCGACGTGCTCGACAAGACTGCTTCGTTTTGCGCTCTACTCGGTGGACACCCCGAAGTGCTGTCAAGACGCTTGTAAATGAGTGAGCTACTACAGCAACGAAATTTAAAGACGACTCGACCAAGGTTACGTCAGCAATAAAGCAAACCGAGCGTGCCAAATCTGAGAACTTCGATGCCGACATCAGTGAGTGCTGCGGCTTTGAACGCAGCCGGTTTCTTTAACCCGTCGCTGCAGCGAGGATCCCTCGATCAAGTCACATAAAGAACCGATCCATTTTGTCTGTGCTCATGTCAACTACCATTCAACAGGACGACTGCACTCGTGTTCAACATTGAGGGGGGCGAGTAAGATATGTTGTTGAATGTGAAGTGTCGGTAAATACATTTTCACCGTGTTGTGTTTCGTCGTGATCGGTTGCTTTCTATCGCGTTTGTTGACAGCAAATGCCCTTCGGACGACAGTGAACGCGTCGAGGTGCCGGCCCTTTCGACCTGGCATTTTACGCACCCGGAATGGTCTTGTATGCATGAGGCAGTACTCAAACCATTGTCGACCTCCATGAACTAGCAGTACCTTAGCCGTGGGTGTAGCTCTCCTCGAATCCATCATTGCTTTTGCTTGTCGATGCTCGATTGTGTGAGCAAGCCCAGTCGTGTAACGTACATCAACCTTTGCATTGCTGATAAGCTGCAAGTCAATCTCTACCCATGGATGAGTAAGTGCCTATTATGAATCGACAAGAACCGTCCCATCGATGAGTTCCTTTTCACTGGAAGTCGATATTGTACTAAACAACTGTTAACCTCATCATAAGACCACATGTGCGACACCTAACGATGCGACACACGATAGTCTTGACTCGCATATTGTGCGGAACTGATGAAAACTGAGCAAAGCATTACCTGACAAAGTCGATCGCCTGACTGCAACTTTGTCAAGCCTGATGATGGTGTGCGTAAAATAAACTTCGCCGACCAAAGACACAGTCTCCGGAAAGTATTCCACGGACTTGCTGAATTCCTGTGTTATTATCTTTACCGCCTTCAGCGGTGTGGCCAGATCCAGCGAACTACTAGCTTCGTGAGTAAACGTGTATATTCGGCACCACTGCAGTGCGAATATGTCGAATACTTTAGCGTCATCATACTGCTTTTCGGTAGGGTCTAGCCCTGATGGATGACCACCAGCTGTGCCAAAATGAACGCCGTCAACAGAGCACGAGTGTCCTCTTTATCCGTCTCAACAAGCGTTTTCCCGGTCTCTTTCCACAATGTAACGCGGGCGTCAAGCGAAGGGATGCTCATGAACACATCTGCGTCTCCTTGGCCTTGTGAAATGTACACTTGCGCTAGTGGATCATGCTGGAAAGAACACCGCCGCAGCCACGCCGTGAGTAAGACTATTAATTACAGAGCTGCTTCGAACCGTACCGTTTTTACTTGCCGCGTCAGCTCATCTTCATCTACTTGACCCAAGAGAAGGCTACTTGCTTCCTTGAAGTCAATCCCCTTCAGCGTACAAGCGCTATCTGAGCTAGCTGTCGATAACGCTTTGCGTTTTTCCGACACTTTCGGCTTCGGTTCATCACTCAAACCAGTCGGCAACGATATGGCGCTTGCAGATGGCTCCAACACGTACGCTTTTCGCTTTACATTGAGTACGCCATTTACACAGGCCGCAGCCTTTCCATTTACCTCTGTTATGGTGACCTGTGCAGCAAGCTATGCAAAATCGAAATAACGCTATCAGTTAGTTCGTGCAACCTACATCGAACGCGAATGACACAGTCACCTTAGAGTCGAGTCTTCCATCTAAATACTTCGACGCTTTCTCGATCACAATCGGCCTGAACGGTTCCATCGGAAACGTAAGCAGCTCCGTCTTTGACTTTGCCACAGTCAGCTCGTGCAGTGGAAGTACTCGTGAAAAGTGCGATGACATGTCGGCTTCTTCCATTGTACTCGCTGGCGGCGCAGCGCTGTACTCGTGTGGGACAATCAGATTGTGAGGGGAGCAGCGGGCGATCAACTGATTGACGTCACCACAGCTTAATCTCGGATCGATCGGGCAAACAATCTTTTCAATCTTCAAGTCTCGGAAAGGAGCGAACGCCTGTGTTGGCTCCACTGTTGGATCTGTATACAAAACATCGTCGGAGTGAGTAACCAAAGCATTTGTTTTGCATATCGGCACGCTGAGCTTCTGAGACTTACCGATCAGAAAGACAGCGTTGCGGCTTTCGTTTCCCAGTACCTGTACCAGTTCCAGTCCCTGTCCGAATTTGACAGATGGGTGGCCCACAAAAAGAATGCTTCCGCCCTACATACGCGTATTCAGTAGACTATTTCTGCAAACCTGCATGAGTTCTCGATGCACGAACCTGTAATGCAGTGGCTGAGGCAACCGAAACCTCGGCGACAGCATGGAATGCGTTGCTTTTCAGTAGGGTCTCGTGCAAAAATGCATTTTCACCTGCATAGAGCATTGCAATCTTCTTCTCGCAGAGCCACTCAGCTCCGATATGCGTAAGCTCCATGATGCGCGAAGCACAGTCCGATATAAAGTACATGGGTACATTCTGCTTGTTAGGAAGGCACGCAGCGAAGATTGCCTCCACAAGATCAAACATCACGCTACAAGGCGACGTAGGTACAATACAAACGCCACCGCGATCAAGCACACGGGTCAGTCCGCTGAGCAGACGCTCCATCATATGTTCCGTGCTCGAGTGAGGATCCCGATCCGGTTTCAGATCTGTCAAAAGTAGCGTCTCACAGTCCACCAGCGGCAAAAGATCGAGCTCTTTCGGGTGACGATTGTAGTCTCCTGAAGACGTGGCTACATATGCCAGTCGATCGTTCGGCCCTTCCACGAGCCAAATACTCGCACCCATGCTATACCCTGAACTCAGCGCTGTGACCTGGACACCGTACGCCATGGGTACAGTCTCACTGTACTCGACACAGCACACTTTCTTACAGCACGCTTCAATGTCTTTCATCGAGTACATTGGGAGCTCGGTCTCGAGACCGTCAGCCACGCCCTCAAAAGTAAAAACAGCTGCATTCTCGCCCTGGCCTAGCGCTGTCAGCTCCTCCATGAGCACACGACCAAACTCCAGCGTAGGATGAGTGGCGTAGATCTTCCCTGTAAAGCCCAGCTCCTCCGTCAACAGTGGCAGGGCCAGCAGAGTGAGGTAGTTGGACAGGAGCACTACGTCCAGAGCCCCCACGTCCACGGAGCTCAGTGCTGGCAGTTGTAGACGGTACATCATACCGCCACCTTGCTTCGAATCGCACTGGAGCGACTGCATTTTTACCCCACAGTCTAACAGCATTTCATAGCCACCAAAGCTCAAGAAATGACAGAGACCGTCGTTTGCGCCACCTAATTGGATCTGTCACGCATCGATGTGAGACATAGAAAAGCAGGTGAGATGGAGCGAATACAGAGCTACAGGCAGAGCATGAGAGTGACAAGAGCGAGTTGCTGTGAGGGCATTGAAGAGGGCGTAAACACGGCGAGAGGACGTCGACGTACCACTTTCATGTGTGATGAAGGATATGTAGTGCGATGTGTTGGGTACAATCGAAATGAGACCGCTGTGTTTATTCCACACCGCGGATAAATATACAATCAATGGACAAGCACAGCCAAAGACGGTTTAGGCGGGTTTTTAGAAAGCCATAGATCTAGAAGCAGGTTGGGTTTCGAATGGAAAGCTTTCACAGAACCTGTCATATCCTCAGTGACGTTGAGCTACCCATCCCCAATACTGTGTAAAAGCGGCCGATGCAAGCGAAAAGAAAGTGAATTGAAGTCCTCGGCAATGAGTTATGACCTCCTGCGAGTCAGCTGTAACACTCGATACGTTCCCACGTTTTTGTTTCCATTGTCCTTTTCCCACCGATCTTGTCGCTTTGTGCGCATGATTCGTTTGCACCGTTTCAGTCATTTGGACTGTGTTGTACTGCATATGGGCAGACTCGTTCAGAGATGCTGCGTGTTTGACTTACACGTCAGAGGTCCCGCAGCTTGTCACCACCAAATTGCTCCGATCTATCCGTCCGTCTGTTTGCGAGCAACGACGTTGTTCCGACCTCTTTGCGTCTCGTTTGTTATCGTTGCGATCCGTATGTCTCCTCAGACATGGCTATCAAATTTCTGCCATTGCTAGACGCTGCGATTTCTATATGCCAGTTATGCTTCAAGACTGTCCAGACTTCATTGTACAATTAGTCGCATTCCACTAAAGCGACACGATCACTGCTGTGTCGAGGGTGGGATAGAGTGAGCTGCACAAAATGCTTTCTTTCGCTGTCAGAGCGAGATTGCTGCTCGAGTGCTTGGGCAAAAGCCCGTCAGCAGTCCACACCGCATCTCCGCTCGTGTCCATTCTAGTGCACTTGCTACAAACCAAGCGCCCTTACGTTGCGGTTCACTCAGCATCATCCCGGATGTCAGGATAGGATGACTGATGGCTGTTTGTGTAACGGGGCACACCCTTGCGTGAACTTAACGCAAGGGTATCGGTGCCCCGACAGACGTACACAAGGCAAGCGAGGAAGCGTAGGTAGGGTAAAAGCAGAACTGTTATATTAATATAATTAAGTCTTTTAACTACTGTCTCTCTGTTTGACTTAACTTAATTATGCTAATATAACTGAGTGTATGGTGACGTCTCGTCACCACTCATTGCGCGCGTCTTGCGGCGATTTGTGGGTTGATATCATCAAGATATCAACCAATGAACAGACTCTTTGGTCGACCCTTCAATATCACCACTTTGGTGATATTGTTCAAAGAATATTCACTCAATATTCTTTATTGTCATTGTTTCTTTAATGACAATTTCCATGTAACGGGCTGCCCCGTTACAGTTTGGATGTAGAGGAGCAATCGAACACGACTTGTTTCGGACGAGCTTTTACATTTGGCTGTTGCGGCACAGTATCACTTTCGTCGGCTCCTACTTCTGGTACTGCCGGATCTTCGATCAGCGCATCAGACTTGCCCTGATGTAGCTTTTCCTACCCAGGCTAGCAACGCTGCGACGATGCGTCATGTGCTGGATAGATGAACTTGCTATGGTCGTGTGTTGCATGGCATACAGCGCGACGAATACTCGAGTGTGACCACATGTTCAGCGGTCTCTAACAAAGACGTATAATTTTGCTCGAGGATGCAATGCCCTTCCTGGCGATAAAATAACAGCTTGCTACTCTTGCCTGTACCGAACACCTCTCTTGAGCTGGCTTGTGCAACACCCGGTACAAATTTGGCATCGGGAGTTTCAGTAGCCGCATCATACAGCGCGCAGTAGTGATCGATCGACTTGGTCGAGCCCGTATGCACAAGACATCATCCACCGCAGTTGCATGCAGGCGTCTTTTTCTCAATCCGTTTGCTCATCTCTACTCGACCGCAAACAGCACTACCTGTCGAGCATGTAGCGGACAATGTATGTACAATTGCATGTTAGTCCGACACAGCAAAGCTGTACTCTCTGCACTGCTGCAAGCTACAGCTCCATTTGACGCAAATACGTCTCGTAGCATTCGAACATTCCTCCGATTAACAGGTACATTTGTGCTACCCGGATGGCGGCATGTATGCGTGCTGAATGCGGGGTCTTCTGAACGTATCCGCGCACTCATACCATGCCTGCAAACCAAGCTTCGTAGGCTTTCTGCTGTCACAACATGCTCCGTTTGTTTGAATGTAGGTTGGTAGAGTCTTCGTAGTACGCACTGTACTTCTGATCGTGATACTGACTTCAGTCATCGGGTAGGAGCTCCATCAAGTCTGATCTCGGGGGCGCTAGTGTGACTTCGTGAAATTCGGTCTCGCAACATGCCACTCCGTGCCTGCCTGCGTTCCTTTCAGTTCTAGTCAGTGCATTTGCCTGACAACCAGTGCGCCAAGCACGTCGCCTAGATGACTGCAAACCAGATATCCTGATTGCCCGTCCCTCATCGGCATAGCTTGCGGTGGTAGTGCCTCCAGTCGTCACTGTGCTTCTGTTTCCCACGTCCTGCTACATTCCAAATATGCTCGAGCCTATCAGTCATTTGACTACATGGACCTGCTTCGTAGTCTCAAAACCAATTCTGCTGTCAACAGAGCAGTTTGAGCTGTGAAGTAGCTCTTGTGTGATACAATTGACATCGAAATGATCGGGTAGGTTCGTCACTGTAGGGCATCGATACCTACAATCTTACTAGACGAACCAGAACTACAAATGGCCATGCAGTCCTACATCACACCTGGAACCGAAATGCTCCACACTTGCGAGTTTGTAGCAATACACGGACTCGACAAATGCGGCTCTTTGTTTAGCGTCCGAGACTTTTTACTGATCTTGTCGGTGCTTAATCACATGCACGCGGAAGCAAAGCAAAGTCGACTCTCGACAACTGCCGACTGGGTCATGATGTTGACTTCATCATCAATGCCGCTTTTTTGCGTGCTTCCAGTGATTGCCGAAGAAGGACCAACGACTTGATGAGTAGTTGAAGCTGGGCTTGGATATGCTGAATCTTTTTGCGGTGGTAGGATTATTAAGCGAGCGGTCTCACTTGTCGGTGCGCGGCGTAGCGACAATAGGTGGAATACAGTCAGGCATACACTTTGTTTTGCAGAGATGGGTTTCCACAACCATGTCGCGATGACTGCTTCTTTTCGATACCAACACTGGTCCGTACTCACGTTGCGACACATGCACCTTGTGCCCTCCAAGCGACGTCCGCTAGCATTGCTGATGTAGACTTGGCTTTTCAGCAGCATGCTGGTCAAAGTATCGTTTGCAACTGCCGTTAACTGATAGCGTTTGCTAATTCTTTGGTTGCTTGCACCACTTGCACGTGTGCTGTAAAGCATACTTTGGCAAAAAAGTAACAATGCATGCCGTTGGTGCTTTTGCGACGGAGGTACGACCACACGATTACATATGAGCGGTAGCCATTAACACGGATGCTTTGAGCAAATCCTTGTCAGCTTTGTCCTGCATCGTCGAGAAGACAGGGAAGCGGTTTTATGGATCGAGGAATGGCACAACTATCACTCGCAAAAGATAAAGCAGTGCATCAACTCATTTATTCACACAGCTTCGACAGCATACCGTCTCAAACAGCTTCAGAAAGACCACGCTGGTTCTCCAGCGCCGGCTCGCTCTTCTCCGAGAGTTCATGGTCGCTCACAGCTGATGATGCTGCATCATCCACGGTACCGGTAGATGCCAAAGCCGCACTGTTCGCTTCGTTCGGTATCTGCTCCGCACGTGGTGTCAGGTAGTAAGCAGCGCCTGGGGGCAAAGTGGCAACCGGGGGAATCCCGTTGACTGTTGACTTGCCGAGGGCTTCGCTTGGCGCAGCTACGACTTGTTCTGCAGCGGAAGAAGAAACGGACGTGACTGCATGAGTTTGCACAGCCTCTTCTGCAACACGATCTGCCATCACAAGACAGGAGTTAGCCATGAAACCTCCTAGCAGCCGTGTATTGCGCATACCTTGGTGCCACTTTGCTTGCAAATGTGCGACCATCTCCGACACATCTTGCAGCCTCTTGTGGATGACCCGCGACGGGGTGTTCTTCAGCTCATCAATCAGTGGCTGCATCTCCGAGACCGCCATATTCATCTTGTGCTCGTTAGCCAGCGCTTCCTTCAGCAGCAATCCTGAGAGAGCTACATAGTCAAGCCACCAATGCGAACCAGCAATCAATGAACCCGAGTTCCTCACCACCACAGTAACGACGAACCTGTGGGTGTCGTCGTCACCACAGACGTCTTTACATCCGCCTTCGAGTCAGGAGGAGGTCGAAGCGAGAAGGCTATCGATATCAGCAAAACCAAGTGCACGTTAGCATCATCTACTTCCGGTCCACATTCTACGAGTCCACTCACCAGGGTCAACTGTTATTGCATCCATCTCCACATTCGGCGGCTCAAACGCTGTTCGCTCGGCACGGAACAGCTCAAGAATCAGACAAGTCCGTCCACCACCACCAGCACGCAACCCAACACAGCATGATATCAGCCAGCCAGCCTACCTGCATCATCCATCCCTTGCTTTATCCTTTGCTTGTGATGTGACTCAGCATCTCGCCCCAACAACAGCTCATCTGGCACAGAGCTGTTATTGGCATAACAGTTGTAAATCTCGTCGCTAATGCGGTGGTTGTGCTGCGAAATCTACACGCCGTCCAGCACCAAAACACACACACGCACGACACACCAGCGCATGAGTCCTCCCTTTCTCTCTCTCTCTCTGTCTCTCTCTCTCTCTCTCTCTCTCTCTCCCTATCTCTCTCTCTCGCTTCCACGTGCTCCACTCCCTTCTCTCTTCATCCCGTGCGCCGTCTCGAAAGACCGTGAACTGACCTGATTCCGCACGCGCACCATCCAGCGCACCTTACTCGGATCACCTGCCACCATCTCAAACACCACGTCGGCCGTGACGCGCGCCGAGCAGCCCGTGTACCGATTGTGCAAGTGCGTGCGCACGCCATGGCCCCGCGACGGCTGGATGCACCCGTGCGTGCACCAGTACGCCATCGTCGCGTACTTGAAATCCTCCGGCACGGGGTACTTCTTGAACTTGTGTTTGCTGTTCCAGTACGTCGTGGTTGACGAGCTGCGACGTCGGTACATGGTCTTGGTGCGCTCCATGTAGCCATTCCACGTCTCGATAAAGGCGTCCCACGTGGCGAACGTCAGGGGCGCGAACGCCGGCACGTGGACCGTCACGACGCCCCGGGCTTTCGCCAGGTCTTCGCGCAGCTGGAAGTTCTTGGTCCGACGCTTCTTCACCAGTGGTTCCTCCAGCGCTATCGGCAGCGACTCGAGAGCTTCGGGAGCGTCACAAGTTGAAGCGGTCCCCAAGTCGGTCTTGATGGTCATGGGCTTGCGTTGCTGGATCGACTGGGGCTTCAGTTGCGGGCAAATGTTGATGGCGGACGACTTAGCGGGAGGAGAGAGAGGGGGGAGGGGACAAGTTGCTAGTTCAAAAACGAGGGAGAGAGAGGGGGGGCGTGGCGCACGTGACAAACGGAATTGACAGGGTCGGGTCCGGTTCTGTGCCGCGAGCCTGCCGAGCAATGCATACGGTCCGATCCGCTGACGGAAAAAAGCACGAGACTTTCGATTGCTGACGCAGTAGACCCTTTTTGTGCCTGATCTATACTATCTCCATGTCCTTTGACTGACTCACGGTGACTGACTGACTGACTGACTACCCGCGATGATGGTGAGAGTGACGGCTGCAGTCGGTGCAAGCGGACCGTTTGTTCCGTCATGCGCGGCGCTAGTCGATGGTCCGTTTGTTTTCGGTATTCGACCGCGCGATATTGAGCAACGCGTGTCTGACGTGACGTGTGTGTGCCTCACGACACTGTGCAGCACAACAGTGCAACATGGTCTCAAACGTGGACGCTGCGTGGCACGAAGCACAATGTCGATGACACTGGACGTCTCACAAGCGGCAGGTCCTGTTGTGTTTTTGTTGCAGTATCATAAAGTGCGGTCGAGACGACCGCGGGATCGAGCTGCTCTTTCTAGCGCCGCCTGTTGCGTCCATGCCCCGTCTGTTTCGCGCCACAGCAAGACAGACGACCGTGCGTGTCGTATAACAACTTTGCGTGCACACGACGAAGCTGTAACGTTCGCTTGACATGGTCAGCAGTGTCACTTCCCCCTCCCTCAAGTGGCAATGGAGCCCCTTTGCTGTTGCGTATCGCTTTTGGCAGGGTCGCAGCGACAGGACCATGGGGTTTGTGCGCGATCGTAGACGAACTTCTCGAATACGAACGTATGGGGTTCTCGCTCTACTCTCCCTCGCTGTAAGAACATTCAGCCCTTCTACACCCGCTTTTTGCATTGAGTCGGCAGTTGTATTCAGTTCAGTCCGCAAGTCAAGCACGTCCCGAGGCTTTGGCCGGCAGCGCAAGCGACCGACTGAGCGAGGCGCCCCCTTCTCCGTACTGGCTGCTGCTTCATGGAGCTCGCGCGAGAGCTGGCGCCAGGTGCGATGCTGCCGTCCGCGTTCAGTAGGAGCAACGACTGCGAGATCGTGCGACGCTGGATGGAGATGGTACTGGGCGATAAGGTGCTGAGCGACGTTCCCGCCGCGCTGCAGTCGGGCCAAGTGCTCTGTGATCTGGTCAAGAAACTGTACCAGGCGCTCGGGATGAAGAGCCACGTGCGGTCGTGCGATGGAGACGACGTGGACGCGCTGAGCAAAGTGCTCGAGTACTTGAGGTACCGTTAGTGTGTTGGTGAACCAGTGGGCTGGAGGTGTAGAAGGGCCGACTTGTTGGTCCATGAAGGACGGGGGAGAGTGGGATCATGAGGCGCTAACAGTTTGTGTTGCTGTACATGTCCTTGCTGCTGCTACTGCTGTTTTGATTCGGGATCTTGTTGCTGTGGATGTGCTTGTTGCATCGCTTGTCTCTGTTTGCCTCATTCTCTATCTTCATCTGTCGCATTGCTATGGTGACGACTGGTGTTCGACTTGAGCAGAGCTTGCGAAGGGCTTGGGGTTGCACGGCAGGATCTATTTGAGCCAGATGATCTGCTCGAGCAAGAGGACCTGGCGAAAGGTGTGTTGTGCGAGCGAAAGCGGTAGAAAGAGCTGGCCTGGGAGATGTTGTGGTCCTGCTGATGTGTTGGGTTTGTGCGCGATATAGTGTACAGGAGTATCCTTGCGTTGCAGGCAGTGGCGGTCTCGCTGTCGAACCGCCGCTCGATTGATGAGCGGAGCTCTATGATCGAACGTTCGGTGCGTGTGTATGGTCTGCATATATTTGTATGCTTTTGCATGAGCAGCATGGTTTCGTTAACACCACTATAATGTGATTGCGGATCGCTCGTGACGTGCAGGACTGGTGTCCGATGTTGGTGCATGACGCTTCTGTGAATGACGACGAATACAATCTGGATACCTGCGATCGGAACTTGGATTCGCATCATTCCGTGCATTCGCTCCAGCAGTCGCGATGGCAGCGGTTGTTATGCAAGTATGAGAACCAGCAGCAGCAGAAGGAAGAAGGAGATTGTGGTGGCGAATCTTCTGCGTGTGAAGGGATGGGACCGCTCGCACACGGCATATGGCGAACAGAGGAGCACATTCGGGCAATATTATTACGTGAGGATACGGATTACGGTGCAGTGCCGGATGCTTTGCATGGCAAGCTGTGGATGCTCGCGTCAGGTGCTCAACTGGAAATGCGGAGAAACAAGGGCCTGTATGAGCGATTATTGGTCTCGAGCTCAGAGGTCACCGAGGCCACGCGTCAGATAGACGTGGATTTGCATCGCACTGTGTCTGATGAAGACAAGGAATGGTGGAGTGACGAAAAATCAGGGATGATGCGCCGAGTGTTGGTCGCATACTCGTTTTACAACCCAAGTCTGGGGTACTGTCAGGGTTTGAATTATATTGTTGCACGAATTTTGCAATACCTTGACGAAGAAGAAGCTTTTTATTTGCTGATTGCAATCATCCGGCTTGTCCCGGATGACTACTACACGACAATGGTAGGTGCTGTAGGTTCTATTGACAAGCGCTGTACGTATCGACATTGTACCTCACCTGTTGCGGAATCTCCGTTGCATTGTAGCTAGGACTGGCTGTGGATCAACACGTCTTTGCGGACCTCGTGCGTCTCCAATACCCGGAAGTTTCTGATCACCTGGCGAAACTCGGGGGCTCGGGAATGGAGTTGTCCCTTGCATGCACAGAGTGGTTCCTGACACTCTTTGCCAGTCCGTGCGACAGGGATGTGACGTTCCGAATTTGGGATGCTATTTTCCTTCAGGGCGATGAGGTGAGTTTGTCGTAGGGTTTACCGATCATACTGCGCCTAAATTGTGCCTGATGATGTTGCGCGTAGGTCCTCTTTCGGGCAGCGTTGGCGCTGCTGCAGCAAGCAAAGTCTGAGCTTGTTGCATGCAATAATTATGGGGACATGCTGAAGCAATTGAACGAGGTATGTTTGTATGGACGATAAGGTGGCACTGGATGAGAATTGCTCATGATGATTTGACATGTGCGCAGCTTGGCCGAAGTACAATCAATGCCGCAGAGTTGATGAAATTATCGAAATCGCAAGATTGCATAATTTGTGGCCGAGTCGAAGACTTTCGAGCCCATCATCGTCTGCAACTAGCATCAGGCATTGTCGCTTCGACGGTCGACACAGAAGACGGGCAGAGCTCATCGACAGGTCGACGGAGCTCGGAGTCCAGGCCGGAGCCACGACTGAGGCTATTTGGCCGCCGGAAGCAAGGCGTGCATCGCCACGTGGACAAGGTTCTTCCTCGATTGGCACGGTAGTGTTGATGCCATTGAAACGCGTACTTGGCGGTGAGCTGATGCATTTTGATTGGTATCTAGAACATTCGATCGAAACCTTACTGATGAGTACACGGAGGCCATTCGACGAGATCACGTCAACTTCGCCGAGTATTACACAGGAATGCAGCTCCAGGTAAGTGGTGTGCTGTTTGTGCTGGTTGTAAAGACAACAGCTGATAAGATGTATGCTTGTGATCAGATCCGCGAAGATTATTGTGTCGTAGGAGATAGCCATCTTGAGCGGAAAACCCGAAGTGCCCGCCGCGTTTCAGCGGATGGGTTTGTTGTCAGCAACAAGCAGGAGAACACAGGTTGCTGTGCAGAGCTGACAGATCACGACAAAAGCCAAAATGGTCCAGATGGAGGTGAATGTGGGGCCAAACTGACGCGCAGCCGCCGAAGCAAAAGCTCAGCAGCAATGACTACAAGAAAAGTCCAAGATGACTGCGCGACTAGCCCTCCAGCAGACCCGACGGTAAAAGAGAATGACGAGGAGGTTCAGTTGGTCGGACGTTCACCGTTGGCATGGATTCAGCGCTTTGAGGAATGGCACAAGGATATGAAAACACAAAAAGAGAAGAGGAAAGCAGAGAAGAAACGTCTGCGACGCAACCAGCGGTGTGATAGCATGTTCCCGGAAACGATGAATGGACAAACAGACCCAGATATTCAGCGGGCGCGCTGTGCCGTTGGCTCGTCGCCGGTTCCGCTTCACTCTCAGCCACGTGAATGTGGCGACATGGAAATTTTCTCGCTTGGCGATCGAAGGAGACCGAATGAATACAAGTGCCTACAAACAGAGAACGTCGTCGAACTGAAGAAGTCGTCCCTGCCACGCTCCTACTCGGACCTATTCCAGCCTCCAGCTCATGTAGCAGGACAGCGGCAAAACCAAACAGTGATGGAAGCGACACGCGATACTGCCAAGCAGGGATTGGTTGTGCCACAGCAGTCGCCCAAGGACGAGATTGAAGACGTTCTAGGAAAGGCTTTTGTTGACGAAACACGAAACCTGGCTAGAAGTGGAAATGGCCGCGCGTTTCGTGGGCTAAGTGATCAAAGCACCCTGTCGAGAAGCACGAATTCGTGCGCGAACGCCGCCTCTTTTGTTATGGATTTTCAAGAGGAGATGCATGACGAAATGAAGTCGAACCGTTGTCTTGGGGAGGAGAGCGTGAAGACAGGACAAGTGACCACATTTGCACGAGGAAAACGACCATTGGCGCAAGGGCTGCTTCTCTACTCTCCAGTGCACTGCCGGTCCAGCTCCATGGACTTCGGGACGGAAGCAGCTGGCGATTGTGTTCCGCCTCGGCTACGTCGCATCGTGTCAGTTTCTTCAGTCGAGAACACTCCTCCTCAGCAAAAGTGCGCGCGCAATCTCGAGCGCACCAACGACTGTACTCAAGCCATGCGAGAGCGTGCGAATGTTCTTCAGTATATGCACCACAAGGCAAGTGACGTGAGCAGTGTCGCTGGAAGTATCCCGCGTAGTCCTGGCCGCATCAGTGAAGGGTCAAGCAACTCGCCTCGATTCGGCGACCAGTCGAGCAACAACCGAAGTGGCAAGTCGACGCATTTCCGCAACGGGTCGTTCTCTTTCTTCGACAAGCTCTCAAGTGATCTCGAGAATAGTGCTCATGGTTTGGACAGTCTGGTGAGTGAGGCTGAGTTTTCGGCTGAAAGTCTCAACCGCGGGTCCATTTCTTCCGCAACAGCGGGTCGATCAAGTACTGTGGACGAGCAACGGCCGATGGGTGAAGCCATCTCCATCTCGTCGTAGCGATGAGGTAACAACAAGGCAAGCGCAGGAAAATGTGCAGCAATATCGACACATGAGTGTTGGCGATGAATGGTAGTCAAGTAAGTACGTGCTGCGTCCAATAGAGCACGAATAACAACAGCGGCCAGGATGGTTATTGCTGTTGTTGAGGGTTTCAAATAGTTTACATGTAGGCTTCGGCCAGCGGTGTTGGGGTCTCATATAGTTTACATAAGTCTTCGACTGGCGGTGTTGGGGGTCTCACATAGCTTGCATATAGGTAGGTGCAAATAGGTTTCGAATAGGTTTCGACTCGTTTGCAAATTTGACCATTGCCGGAAAAATGGGCAAAGCGTACGATGGCAAAAAGCGGTGGAATGAGACCATCCTCGCAACAACGGCCAGGGCTTCCACCGTCGCTGGTCGAATCAATGGAGCAAAGAAGCGCTTGTCGGGTACGTATGCGGTACTTAATCGTTGGGGTATATGTTGCGTGCATGAACGACAGTGTGATGCAATGGCGAATATTGAACGACTTGTTTCTGAATACTATCCCGTGTGTGGGTTCGCTCTGATTGTGCATTTGTGTACCTATCGACGTTTCGATGCCTGTCAATGTGTGTCTCTCGCTATAATATGTTCAGGTCGAACGCACAAGCTGAGCTCTGCCATGCGACGTGTGGATGACGACACGCGGTCTGAAGTACGCAACGCGCGACTGGACGCTCTGGAAGCGGATACTTTCGGGGAAGACGCAGACGAAGACGGTGACGGCACGCGAGACGGCGACGAGGCGTACGTGGACGAGGACGAAGGTGGAGCGAGTGCATCGTTGGCTGGTAGAGAGCCAATGACGAAGACGAAGAAGAAGAGACAAGTGGGTGTCCTGAGCAAGAAGAAGTGGAAGGTGACGAGTTTGGCGCAGTTGGTGTTTGAAGAATTGGGCAATGGCGACCACACAGAGGAACCCAACTACTTGAGTGCTGCTGTAGGGCCTCCGATTCATCCAGCACGGAAGTTTTGCTGCGTGTGTGGGTTCTTTGCAAACTACAATTGTCGACGATGTGGATCGAGGTACTGTAGCGTGAGATGCGGCGACCATCACAAAGAAAGTGGTTGCATGAAGTTTGGACTGTAGAGCAAGTTCGGCGTCTCTGCTGTCAAGAATGTGGGGTTTGTTGGAGCTCGGGGTGACACGTTGGTAAGTCGCCTACGAGTCGTGAGCTGTGACGTCGTTGGTACGGAGACAAAGCAGGTGGAAGCTGGCGATTGGGTGCGAACGCGGTGTTTGCAGAAGGCAGCAAAGTCCGAAAACTGAAGAGACTCTTGTTGCGTACGACCTCGCACCGCAGTCCTGCGTGACGTACCAAAACCAAGGCTTGTAGCATATTGACGGGCACGATTTGTGATTCGGCGTCCATTGCGCCGCGTGTACTGCCACTCTGGTAGCGCATCTTTTCACAAAGTGCTGTTAGCGATCTGCGAAAGCGCTAACACAACGTGGTCAATGCCGTCCGGTGGGTAATCTGTATGCGTGTACACAGGCGGCAGTCATTTCGAGACACAGATCTACCAGGAACTTGCGAATATTAAGATAGAGATTGCAACAGCTTCCCTCAGCGACATCCGAATTGTTTCCTGTGTTGTTCCATGTGAATAGTAGAACCGAAGTAACGGGCCGGAATGGTAGTCCGAAGCTTTGTTGTTTCAGATGTAGCCTTGACGAAGCGTGTGCCTTTGATACATCCGCATATCACAGCCAAACAGTACCGTACTTCCAGACGGACATTGCAGCGATCCAAGTCGGAATGGCAATTCCGGCGATGTGTGTGATACCCATAGTCACACGATTTGCTCTTGTTGTGTCGATCCTAATTCGTCGGGCCCGACCGCGCTGCAGACCTTTGTGACTGCTGTTGTAATTTGCAACGAACAGTCGGGTGCCAAACCCCGTTCCCATGACGTTTGTATCGGCTCATGTCAAACATGTACAGACCTGCCTTCGCCTCTTTGCTAACATGTGCGACACTTGACCAGCACATGCGAGAACGGATCCATTGTGAGACCCTACTCCCTCGCGTTTTTTTGCAGATATGGTCGCCTCGGAATTGCATTGTAAACGATCCGAATACGCCGATCACTTCATAGCGATCCAATATGAGCGCCACATGTGCATAGTTGACGTCGCGACGGCTATAGACCTACACTGAAGCGTATCAGTACTTGCTCTCACGCCACAATCCATCGACTGACGTCAGGCCCTAACAATGTCCACAGTCGGTCTGCACCCCTCTGGTTCGAGCCACTGGTTGTGGCATTCCACAAACTCAAGCTCAGATTTTCTCAATTCGATGCTTCAGTAAGACCTGAGACGATAAAACCCAGGGATGCTCTGATATAGCAATACAAAGAGCCCACGCATCTTTCTCTCTTACGTCAATGGACTTTCACGGTGCACGGCGTGTGGGTTCTGCAAGGTCCCGCGTGATCTCTCGATCGATATCTGGTCGACAATGCATGAGCTATAAAGTCGAGGGAGGTGAAGTTTGAGCGGAAGAAAGCACGAGTCGGTTTCTGCTAGGACCTCGCCATTCATCGAAGCATGGACGAGCATACAACAAGTGGCCCTGAAGGCCTGATCGAGTCTCTATCGCGCTATTGGATCGCGATGGTCAAGTCGTACGATAACCAGATGCAGCTATAGGTTAGGCAGCACTTGTCATCTCTCCTGTACCAATACGGAAGTTTGTGATTACTTGTCTTTGCCGCATAGTTTATAGCATTGTCAAAGTCGTAGGTTGCCATCGAGCAATGAGCACAAAGTGAAGGTGGCAACGTTACGGTCTGGACTGTATCGACGATCGACCACGCGAAGCGGTGTCGAGCAAAGATGATCGTGCACGCCGACCGACCGTACGATCGAACGACAGCTTTTGCACGCACGTCGTTGTTTAAGAGCCTCACATTTTATATCGCGCGCTCGACGGCGCTATGCAGAACATTCACATTCACATTCACATCCCATTCTCGATGTCCCCAAAACTCACAATAGCCAAAAAAACGCGTCCCACGGCCATTCCAAAACCGCAGCCACCAAACGTCGTTTCTCTCTCCTTCAACCACACGCGTCGAAAAAAACAGTTAAAAATCAATCCATCGATCCATTCCCTCCGATCCGTCCGCGCGTCCTCCTCCTCCCCCCACGTCACTCGAATCTGATTTATTCCGTTTCCAACACGCGCTCTCCCCCGCCGTCCCCACCACCCATTCTGTTTAAAACCCGCCCCGAGCCATGGCGAGCGTCTTTATCGACCCGCAAGACCTGCCCGACACGGGCTACGGCCTCGTCCAAGTGCTCTTCCTCGGCGCCGTCTACGGCTCCGTGCTCTTCACGGCGAGCAACCTCATCTCGGACGGCAGTGAGCTGCTCTTGCTCGTGCCGTCGCTCGCGGGGCTCGTCGGCAGCATTGTGCTCCCCGTCTTGGGCGCTGTGCCCGACGGTGCGATCGTGCTCTTCTCGGGCATGGGCCCGCACGCCCAGGAGCAGATCTCGGTCGGCGTCGGGGCCCTCGCGGGCTCGACCATTATGCTGCTCACGCTGCCCTATGCGCTGAGCGTCTACGCCGGCCGCGTGAACTTGGACGCCTCGGGACGGGGCAACTACGTCCGCCCCAAAGGCAGCAGCAACGACAATGACTGGGCAAAGCTCATGCCCCGGGGCCACCGCCACTGGACGCGCACGGGCGTTGTGCTGGTTGACGAGATCGCCTGCACGGCCCGCATCATGATGGGCACGAGTCTGATCTATTTGATTCTGCAGGTGCCCGCGCTGTTTTACACGGGAAACGCTGCAGCCGATGCCCAGCGGATGGACAATGCAGTCGTGGCACGGGCCGAGCGCCCGTTTGCGCTCGTAGCGTGTGCCGTTGCGATGCTGTCGTTCGCGCTGTACCTGTTGTGGAGCGTGCGGCGGTCGTCGGGGGTGCAAGACGATGTGATTGACGAAGTGCGTGTCGCGGCGATCCGCAATGGAGAGATCAGTCTCTCGGGTCTCTTGGCCAAAGAAGTGGCCACGCTCAAGACCGAAGCGGCCGCGCAGGCAACGACCGTGGCCACGCCGCTGTGTGCGACGCGCGCGCAGTTTACCCGCGTGGCCGACGTGATCCGCCCGTTTTTCCACGCGTACGACCGCAATCGCGACCGCCGCATGGACAGCGACGAGCTGCAGCTGTTTTTCCACGACTTGGGCGAGCGCTTGTCGCGTGAAGAAGTGGAGACGTGGAAAGCTGCGGCCGACAAGGACCAGAGCGGGTTCATTGAGTTTCACGAGCTCGTGGAAGCCACGCTGCGGTACCTCTTGGCCAAGTACGAGACGGAACGCCACGGGCGCGCGGCCGTCTCAATGCACCGCGTGGTGGTCGAGCAGCAGCAGTCGCTGGGCCTTGCGGCGCATGACAAGGACGACGAGGAAGAAGAGGAGGAAGAAGTGCCGGAAGATTTGGCGCACTTGTCGATTGCCGAGCAGCAGGTAAAGATTAAGCTGCGTGCAGCGTACATGATGGCACTGGGCACGGCGCTCGTGCTGATCTTTTCGGACCCGATGGTCGACGTCTTGTCGGAAGTGGGGGCACGCACGGGCGTCCCGGCGTTTTACGTGTCGTTTGTAGTGGCGCCGCTGGCGTCGAACGCCAGTGAACTCATTGCCGCGTACAACTACGCGCAGAAGAAGACGTCCAAGACGATCTCCATCTCGGTCTCGGCTCTCCTTGGAGCTGCCTGCATGAACAACACGTTTTGTCTCGGGATCTTCGCTGCGCTCATGTCGTTCAAGGCAGGCGGTCTGGTGTGGCAGTTTTCGGCCGAGACGCTGTCGATTTTGTTTGTCGAGTTTGCAGTGGGCTTTATTGCCATGAAGAAGACCCAGCGGCTCCTCGACGGACTCTTTGTGATGCTCCTGTACCCGCTCTCGATCCTTTTGGTCGTCGTGCTGGAGAATGTATTCGGCTTGGACTAGGCGGCACAGCCGGCAACAGTGGACGTCACGAATAAAAGGACCGGGAGCCATTGAGAGGGAGGTGGTTGATGTTGCGCGAGCACGGAGCTCGATAGGGTCGAAAGGTGTGCGAAGTCGCTTTGTGTGAACGGTGCAGTAGTAGGAGACGATGGGTGTGCTGCAAAGCTCTGTACGTTTGTTAACTCGTGATCAAAAAATGTCCGCTCATTATGGCAGTCAAGTGAGATTGCTCTCCTTGTACGACTTGCTTGCGCTATTGTATCAACAGCTACCCATGAATAATGCAGACACCGCTGTTATAGAAAGAGTTTGACACAAGTTAGTCAGGTAAGTGCCCTGGCGTAGATCAAATGGCGCTACGTTGCTGCCGAGAACGCTTTCCAATCGAAGGCTATCTTCTAACTTACCAAGTCATATCCCCAAGTAGGCTGTGCTGCCGAATCGTATGTTGAGCACATGTACACTCGAAGACCGATCGCATGCGACGTGGGATTCACTTTCGTACACGACATGGAATCAACTGAGGGGTTCACGTGGTCGTCACCACTTTTCTGTCTCGCCGCATGCATAGCGATCCCATTGGCAACAGGTGTTCTGGATTTGACCAAACGTTGGGCGTCAGGTCGATGCACTGCCGCATCCCTTCTCCTGCTTCGACATACATTGGCTTCTCAACCTGTGGCCACAATCACAACTACTGCTGAGTTCGTCGGTGAAGCGTGCGAAGAAGCAATTGAGGCAGGATGAAGACCATACATCGATCGTTGATGCTATCATGAAGGCACGTTGGCGTCAAGCCCACGGTATGTGTCTACCAGCAGCGCCAAGACAAGCTGTGTCGTCACATTTTCAGCGGCAATGACTCCCCGCAACACTTGAGTTGTCTTATGCGCTGCACCTGAACACAAGATGAGCGCAAAACACACGTCCCGCAGCACGCACGCACATGAACCACTTCCCTGACCCATTCGCTACTTACAACGTGATGTATAGACTACAAGTCGCACGACGAAAGTATCCCAAAGCGACTGATTGACGTGCTGTCGCAATCTCTACTTTGTCTCACTGCTCGAGTCTACTTCCCAACACGCGACTACGATCCGATAGTTTTGTATGATAATTCGTCGCGCCCATCCGCCACTGTTGGCACTTCAATCGATGTAAATATTGTCGCAATTGATGACAATATGTTTACAAGCCTGCTCCTGCGAGTCAACATTGAGGGAACATAACCTCGAAAGGCAGTATTCGGCACTGCCCCACAGCGCACACAAAAAAAGCGTCTACCTCAATGCATCGTACCCAGCCGCTCGTTTCGTCGCAATCATTCCAGCACACCACATCCACCCGCGACCGCCGAACACAAAAACACAAAAACACAAAACACCAATGATCCCTCGTCAAAAAATCCAGTGTTTTCACGTCGCGGAAAATGCGTCCTTTACGCTCTCAATGGACATTGTCCACCCGACCCATTTTTTCGTGTCGGTTTTGCGCGCCAACTGTAATTTACGCCCGCGCCCTCTTTCTCGCGTAAGTTACGCCCACCGACTCGTTTGGCCACTGCCACACCGATCGTCGTCGTCGTCGTCGTAATGTCTCTCTCTCTCCACTCACCCTCACACACACATATAGTCCTATCATCATCGCCCATCCCTCCGTCCCATCCGTTAGACTGTTGGGTCGTAACTGACTATTTCGTTTGCCACACACTCACACACACACAACAATCAAACAGCGCACCACCACACGGCCACTTCCCGGCCGTCCCCTCTCGTCTCCCCACAACACCCTCTCACGGCGGTATCATCATCGTCATCGCCATGACGGAAGCGTTCATCGGCTACAGCGAAGACTTTGAGCAGTGCCGCGACGAGGCCGTCACGGCCATCCGCGCCGTGACAAAAGCGCGCGACTCGAGCGAGCGCCTCGAGCTGTCAGAGCGCGCGCAGGGCCACATCTCGGAGGCCGAGCGCTACATGCGCATCCTCGAGAGCGAGTCGCGCGCCGGGGACTCGCAGGACCGGCGGCGGATGCACCAGCAGCTGCGCACGTTCAAGTCGCAGCTCGACAAGCTCAAGGCGAACCTCGAGCGCTCGAAGCTCTTGGACGGCAGCGAGCAGCGCCACGAGGCGCGCGCGCCGCAGGACAATGTCGCGCGCTACCAGCAGCGCACGGACCGCATTGACGACCACTTGGCCGACGCGCAGGACATTATCGCGCGGACGGAAGCCACGGCGCAGAACGTTACGACGAACCTCGCGGACCAGCGCGAGCAGCTCATTAATGTCCGCACAAACGTACGGCTGCGTGTCTCGTGTGGGGGGGGGGGGGTAGTTGTTGTGGGTGCTGGGCGAGCAGCATGGGGCTCATTATGTGGGTGTGTTGATGGATGGCTGTGATGCGTGTAGGTGGATGCTACGCGGGAAGACACGGCCGAGGCGCGGCTGCACTTGAAGAAGCTCAAGTGCAAGATGATGTCGCAGCTGTTGTTTTTGTACCTTATCATCTTGGGACTGGTAGCAGTGATCGTCTGGCAAGTGATTTCCAAGTTTGCGTAGAGAAGAGATGAGAGAAGAGAGTGAGGAGAGAGAGAGAAGGAGAACGAGGGAGTGATTGAGAAGCCGACAGGTTTGCTTTCGTTGGGCTTTTCGCGCTGGCTTCGTATGGTGCACGCGGTTGACGCCCGTGCGTGTATATTTCTTCGACCGTGCACAGTGCTGCAGTGGCACGAGATGGCTGGTGGAACGGACACAGGTTGTTTTGTAAGACGCGGGGGAGTGGTTTAGGTGTGACTAAGGACAGGGTGAAAGCGTTTGCCAATTTTGAAGACCTGAGCAATTGTGTGTTGGCATTACTTGGACGTGTGTGTTGCGTGTGCTGCGTGTTGTGTGGAAGCACTTGGCGCAGGTCTGTCGTGTGAGGTCACTGTTCGGCAGGCAGTGTCGAGGCTGCGTTTGCTGGAAAGGTGAGACGGCGATGACGATGGAAGCACGTGATGCAGCCGATGTAGACTTGCGACAACATGTTGCAAGAGGTACGATACTAAACCCGATGTCTTTGTCAGTGCCGGGCGGCACGTACCGATCGACAGTGTTGCAGGAACTGTCCAGACGCGCATTATCGCTCGTGATATGCTGTTCTGATTTCTTTTGCCTTTGAGTTTATGCCAAGCTCGCATCGATTGCGACAACGTAAGGCGTGTTCATGCTCGACACGAGCACTCGTGAGTAGACAGACAGCCGCTCGGACGCGAATCCACTTTGGCCTTTCGTGCAGGCTTGAAGAAGACCCGAAAATCCAGTTGTCGACGCAGGTGACACGCAACAATAGCTGCCACGTACGTTCTTGTCAAATTCTGCGGAAGGATAAAAGCGCAGCAGAGGTGTGTGTGCTAACAATGCCAACTCCTCGCGCACGTTCTTGTCCTAAGCGACTCTGCCAGCTGTGTACATTGGTGTGCCCGCGCTTGCCGTAACCCAACTAAAACGTCCTGTGACATGTACGATGCGATGACCACCAGTTTACGTCCTGTTTACTTCCTCGTAGTGGGGCAAACTTCCTCAACGACGAGGATCGTGCAACAAGTGAACCTGCAAACGCAGCATTGCAATCAGGGCACGGCGGATTATACTGTAAGCAACGTCGCACGCATACCACATTGTATGCCGTCACAACGCGCAGCTGAGTAGTTGACAAACTGTGGCGTGCGAATGGTCAATGTATATACTGCTTCTTCTCTCTCTCTATGTGGACTTGTAGTGCGTCAGTCGATACAAAAGCACACGCCCTCTGGCATTGCCGACTGCAAAGTAACCGCTGTTGGGACTAAAGTCCATTGCCGAGACATAATGCAGCGGTGTGTGTGCGGTCGGCCAGTTGGCAAAAACGGTCAACGACGGCATGTGAACCAATTTCAGCGAGTTCTTGGTGCCCGTTGATGCCATCGCCAGAATCTCCGAGCTGGCGTTGAACTTGAGACGATCGACCTGAGTCGTGAGGTGCATCAACGCCTTGCGCGGCTTCGGCATGGCTGTCAATCCTGCGTTGTCGTAGATGTTCACTACACCACTTTTCGAGCCGGCAGCGTAGTACTTGTCGCTTGCTGCCAGAGCGTGATTGCCTAAACTGCCTTCGTCATCGTGGACAAACACACATCGCCGGGTACGCATGTCCCACTTGTACACTTGACCGTCTGAGCCTGTACTTAGCAAATATCGATCATTCTCGCAAAACGCTGCCGACTGAGCACTTCCATTCATCTTCAGCGTTCCAATCGACTCGTACGACTTGGCAGACACTACGTCCATGTATCCGTTGCTCCCCATGAGCACAAGTGTCTCTCCATTGTCCGAGACGACAAACGTATCGCGTTTCTTCTCTTTCCGTCCATAGAGACCTGGTATCTTGGTGATCTTGCCTGCTTCAATGTCGTAGGAAAAAAAGTACTGACGAGGACCCGTCAGAACCGCACGCTGACCACCCAGCGTGAACTTCGCGTCCATCATGGGCAAGCTCTGCACAAACACACTCTCGACTTTTGCATTCTTGCTGCCGTCGACTTGAAAAAGACGCAGCGTCTTGTCTAGCCCTGCCGTGAGCATCAACTGCCCGTTCGGGTGGAACTGCACCGACTGCACAACTGCATTCGACGGCGCATGTTGATTCGCATCTTTCATACGGACGATCTCCAGCTCCCCCTGAGGCACTGCTTCACTCGACGAGTCCAGCATCTTGCCAGTACTCCGGACAATCTCGGCTTCGTTTTCATCGTCACTGTCATTACTGTCCACAAGCTGCTCGCCCACGAAGTTTTCAGGGTCCGCCCACGACGCCGCACCATGTCCCGATTGATAACTGCAACCACACCAGCGCATCAGCACAACACAGATAGACAGAGAGTCCACATTGTCAATACAAACAGCCAATCTCACGAAATGGTAAGACAATCGTCCATTTAGAAACGAGCATTTAGAAACGAAATGCAATGGTGTCCACCACACCAACGTACAACGTCTTCAGTCGACTCTGGAGCTCGTGGCCACTCACGACCGTGTCCCGCTCGGTCTTGCGGTGCTTGCGCAGTTGCGGCTGCGTCTCGAGGTTCACCTGCACGCCCGCGTCGTCGTCGTCCACCCACGCAGCGCGCAGCGTTGACCCGCCCGTGCTCGAGCGCTGTTTCTTGCGCTTGTGGTGCTGTGTCTTGTCGGTCGGTGCATGGCCCGTCTGGAACACGTCGTGGACCAGCAGCTTCTCGGCTTCGGTCACGGGCAGCATCGCGGGCGCGCGTTTGCCCATTGTAGCAGAGTGTTGGTCGGTCAATCGATTGGTTGATCGATGGGCAGCGGTCCCGACGGAGTGCGCGCGCCACCAATCACCGCTTGGCAGTCCGAGTGTACCACAATGATGGACCACACGAGGAGGCCAGTGAGGCGGGGCGATGTCGTTGATCCATACGTCCGTCAAGTGAGTGGCAGCCATGCAGCGCGAGCCAGACGGCGTGGGTCAGCCGCCGCCTCGTAAGTAATTTATCTTCGGTTGATTTCTTCTTTCTTTCTGTCTTTCTTTCTTCTGTTCTATTTCTGTCGCCTGTCCAGACGTTCATTCTCGAAAGTGCAACGTTCGACGCAAGTGCCGCAGTCACACGCGTTGTTGGGACGTGCACTGGCCTTTTCTGTCCTGTCCCACTCATACGTGTACCACATACACACACATACATTTGACCAATCAACGGATCGCGCGCTGTGCGTTCGCTTGTGTGTGTCAGTTGACCGCATCACCTACACGCGTCTTTTCCTTCCGCACACAGACGAGCCCATGACGTGCTCGACAGTCAGCAGCGTCAAGGCCGCGCTCCACGAGCCGCGCGCGGACTCGCCCCGCGCGTGCTGCCAGTCGCCATCGTCGATTTCCGACGTGGACTTTAGCCACCGAGCGGTGAACAAGTCCCCCGCAACAAGCGACAAGGTGCGTCGACTCGACGAGGAGGTTGTGTTGGGTCGTTGGGGTACAGCGTGCTCATGTTGCTGTGTGGGTGTGTCGTTGGTGCTGGTGCAGAAGTGTGTCGGCCGAGACGCGGAATCAGGTGATGAGCTTGATCAGGCTGAGGCCGCCAACGGGGACCGGGCCCTGGCTTCGGGTGCCGCTGATATTAACGAGGTTCTTGCCCATCGTGTGAGCAGCTCGTCGTCGCTCAAGCGCCAAGCAGCTGTCAATGAAGATGACGATGAAGCAGCGAGTGGGGTGCACTTGTTACGGAAAAGAGCCAAGACGGACGAGCCGTTGACGGCGCGTGAAGCTGCAGAGAGTGACTGTTTGCCCAGTGACTACGAAGAAGGAGAAGAGGACGACTCGTTTGAGTCCTCGGTATCTCGTGGCTGTGACTGTCGTGCTGCTGATAGCTGTGAACGTGTTGAGTTGGATGTCACTGCTGATGTTGCATGTAGCAGCGAGTCGTTCCTGCGTCGCCGCAGCCGTCGCACGCTCTACGTCGAGTACTGGAGCCGGACTGACGAGTGCAAGGAGCGCAAGTGGGACCATCTCGATGAGATTGCAGACAAGTATGGGTCTGCTGAGGAACATATCTTTGCTACGACTCTGAAGGGTAGGACTGCGTGCCTCGAACCCAATATGTTTCCGTATGACACCCCTGCAGGCATTGAGCACTGGACGCTGTGGCACGTCAAGGACTTGAGTCATGAACAGGTGAAGCAGTATGTGGAGAACTGGATCGACGCGAATGCGCCGCATGTGAAGCGGTGGAACTACGATGACAACCCCGAGCGCTCAATCGATATTTATCACGTGCACGTCTACTTCCAGGTGGTTGAGGGCTGCACGGTGCTGCAAGAGCGTAAGGTGGATGATTTGGTACATGAGCTCGATTGACCAATTATGCCGTCGCAAGAGGTCGCTTGCGTACACGGCCAGTTGAGTACATATACGTGACTTAGTCGGTAGTGAAGAATGACATGTGGTGATTCCACCTTTGCATGCACGCGGGACAGCTTTCTTCGATCGCTCGAGAGGTTGCAGTTGTTGCTGTTGGACGTTTGTCAGTATGTGGTAGGAAAGAAAGCACGGGCGGGCAAGCAGGAGAGGGGGGGGGGTATGTGCGCTGTCTCTGGTAGCAAAGCAGGCGTACAAGCATGGAAGAAGCAGTGCCACGCCATCAAAAGCCTTGCGCGCTTCGACGTAGCACCAACTTGCCTGCTTGTGGCTTTGCTGTGCAACAAGTCCTGACGTCACGGCAGCATCCAGGGCCGCGTCGACCGCACAGCTGGGCGTGCATGACAGTTGGCCTGACTGCACAAAAGTACGGTCGACGGCGCACACGATTGTGTGGGCAAGCGCACCTGCGACGTATGAAGTAGTTCGTGTGGCCACTGGCCTACTGTACCTGACCGAGCTGCTTCCCCCACATGGGTGTGGAGATTGTCTCCAGTCTCTATCTTTCCATGGCACACTGCCCATCCGCCTCGCGAAAGTCAAGTTGCACTACGGGTTCCCACGTACCGAGAGCACGAACCGACTCGCTTTGTTGCTACTGCTGTTGCAGTGCAAGCGCTTTTGTTGCGCACGCGAGTGCAATACGTCGACTGTGATAGCTGCACCTGAGTCGACCGCACGGAAATGCAACGATGGGAAGCACGACGCCGGTCGAACATTGATGTGCATTGGCTTCGGAGGTTGAATCGCCGAGAGGAAAGATCAACTTCGACACGGAGCGAGCGTGAAAGCTTTCTTTACGAGAAACAGGAAGCATGGAAAGTCTCGAAAGGGTTAGCTCTCGCCTGGCAACAAACAGATTGACACGACGGGATCAGAAAATGGCTCTGTGGATCAACGAACCCACAAAAGCGACGCGAGTCTCGGCTTCTGGCGCTGTTTTTCATTCACCTTTTGTACAACGCGTCTGAACGATCGATTTGTTTGCCGACTGCGTTCGACTTTTGGTGGATAATCTCGCGACGACGGACGGCACTGTCTTTGAGACAGGAAACGCGCCGTCTCGATTCGTCCTACATCGAGTTTCTAGAAGATATCTCCTGCGTGATACGTTCTCGAAACTTCGCCAGGGCTTTGACAACGGATGGGTCGGTAACTCTACAACACTCGACTCGGCACTTTCTTCCGCGAGCAACAAACCCACTGCATTACATACAGCTGACCTGCCAGTGCAACGACACGCAGGAATCGTCCGGGCCAACGGAAGCGAAAAGCCTTTCGTCACCCGCCTAAAGAAGCGGTAGGTGCCACGCGTGCCGCTTGTTGACTGCCGACAAGTGCAGGAAGATCTCGAGCGCTCAACTCCCATGCCACTCACTGCCCGCGTCTTTGCACTGCCCACCGTCTCTTTTCCCCAATTACAAGGAGCGACAAAGACGTGTGGTATCCGCAGTCAAGAAAGACCCCGTTCGTGGACGTTTTCGCGCATCGATCATAGCGATCGTCCTGTATGCAACTACAAACAAACAAACAAACAAACACACCGCCCTACAAACATAGATACAATTACATGCTCCGAGCCACGCAAAGCTCTCGCAACCGCATATCTGCGTTCCAGTCTTTCAGGACGCGACCAGCAGTTATTGCCCCGTCTTGCACGCCAATCGGACAGGTGCGCACGCCGTGACTCACGCACCCCAAAACGCCCTCACTCGACCTTGAGCTTCAGGCGTTGAACCTCAGGGCCGTATCGCACCGCCTCGCGCTGCAGTCGTTACGCAGTCTGTTCATTTTTCCTTTCACCATTTCCACCGTCTTGGACACCACCTCAAAGCTCTTGCACCCAATCCAGTCGCAGTGTCCCGCTTTCCTCCGCTATGGTCGAGTTGTACACGCCGTCGGTCCCCCACACGTCCTCCGAAGCCAAAGTCCACACGGTCGACATCCTCATCATCGTCGCCGTCCTGTTCTTCACTCTGGTCGTCGCAATCGTCGCGTCCATCCAAGCGGGCGAAAGTCGCTTGATCCAGTACCTCCCCTGTCTTCGTCGACTGTCAGCTGCCAAGCGCCCCGTTGTACTAAAGCCCGCAAAGGCCGAGTCCCCCGGGGACAGCTATGTGGTATCCGAGACCACTCCGTGCAAGAAGAACCTGCCACCGGGGGACGAGCGCGGGTCGACGATCCCCCAAACTCGACTTTCTGCCTCATTGAGTGCACGGGACGGACGCGGCGACGCTCAAGACAACGAAATGGCCAACTTCTTCTTGGCCGACCGCGGAATGCAGTGGTACTTTGTCGGCGGAGCGCTCTTTGCCAGTAACATTGGGGCCGAGCACTTTATCGGTATGGCAGGCGACGGCGCCCGGCGGGGCATTGCCGTCGCCATGTACGAGTGGTACGCGGCCATTTTGATCCTGTGCCTGGGCTGGCTCTTCTCGCCCATTTACCGCCGCTCGGGGGTCTACACGACCCCGGAGTTTCTCGAATACCGCTTCGGGGCTCCCTGTCGACACTACCTCTCGCTCGTGACGGTCATCATGTACGTCTTGACGAAAATGAGTGCCAGTATCTACGGTGGTGCGATTGTTTTCCAAGCGACTTTGGGCTGGAACCTCTACCTCGGCGCCGGCGCGTGCATTGTGCTCAGTGCCATGTACAGCATTGCAGGGGGTCTTCGGGCGGTCATGTACACGGACTTGTTCCAAATGTGTGTCTTCACCATAGGGGGCCTCGTGATCTTTACGTACTCGATGAACCAGATTGGCGGCTTTAACGGCATTGAAGCCAACTTGGCCAACCAAGGGCGCTCGGACTGGTTCCATCTGTGGAAACCCACGAACGACCCGGACTATCCCTGGACCGGTATGCTCTTTGGTCAGCCCATGGGGTCCATTTGGTATTGGTGCATGGACCAAGACCTTGTCCAGCGCGTCTTGTCGGCCAAGGACACGGCCAATGCCAAAGCAGGGTGTTCGTTTGCCAGTATGCTCAAGATCCTGCCGCCGTTCCTCATTGTCATCCCCGGCATCATTGCCAGTATCTACTTTGACTTTAGCAAGATTGCCAATGGCACGGACGCTGCGTACCCGACGTTGCTCATGGAAATGATGCCCCACGGTATCATTGGGCTCATGATCTCGAGCATCATCACTGCCATGATGGCGAGTCTCGCGTCCGTGTTTGCAGCTGGTTCGTCCGTGGTCACCAACGATATTTACCTGCAGTTCCGTCCCAATGCTTCGACCAAGCAGCTCGTTTGGGTCGGCCGCATGAGTATCGTTCTCTTTGCCGTGCTGAGTTTCTGCTGGATCCCCATCATGCGCAATGGAACGGGTCTCTACGAACAGATTGTGGAGATTCAGAGCTACTTGACGCCACCCATTGGTATTGTGCTAGTGCTGGGTGTGACTTGGCAGCCTGCTAACGTGTACGGCGCGTTCTCAGCAATGGTTGTCGGTGGTCTGCTTGGGTTCTCACGGCTCATCTTCGTGACGATCAAAGACGACAGCCTCGATGGCGATCTACCGGAACCCCTGAACACGTTTTTCTACATGAACTTCCAGCACTTTGCCTTGTTGCTGTGGGTCACGGCCATGGTCGTGTGCGTCACGGTTAGTCTGCTCACGCAGCACAAGAACCGGCCATCGGACGAAGTTCGGAAGTACATGATCCACTGGGACAAGGTGCTCAAGCTAGACGCCACGGAGCTCGCGAAGCCCACATGGGTGAATGTGCTCGTTGCTGGCAGTGGCATTACCGCTCTTATCATCACGTTTTCAATGTGGATCTACTTTGCGTGAACGCAGCGAGAGAGAGTGAGTGAGCGAGCAGTCATTTAGTTGTGCGGTTGCTACCCATGTACTAGTAATCAAATAACGAGTTGTGTTTCGTATGAACCCGCAGTCTCCTTCTCTTCAGCCTCATTCAAGAGCAGCGATATCGGCTGCATTGCCGACCCTGTCAACAAGGATGTATCCGTGCTGGTCGATCCTTGCGACAAAATCGGAAGCACGAAGCTGCTCTCTCGATCTGATGTGCGCGTGGAACGACGTCTCGGAGGCACTGACGTCAAGCACGTTGGTGCACAATATCGCCTCACGATCCGTATAGTACGGCAGCAGACGCTCCAATTGCGACGTGTACGTTCCGGTTGCATTGTGGAAAGCGTGTTGGGCGTAGTAGTACTGGAAACTCACATACCGCACTCCCCATTCCGGATCGAGCGGAATGGGTTTGCTGCTGTCGGTTTCCAGCGGCGGACTGTCGTCTCGTGGACGAAAGTGGAGGTAGCCCCACCACTCTGGACGGTGCATGTCCACCGCCAACTGTGCAGTCCAAGTCCAGTTTTCTTCGCGCCAGTCCGTCGCCTCTTTTTCGTAAACCTGTTTGCCAGTATTTGGATCCAGTGCGACTCGAACAGGCCACTCGACCCGTGAAAAGTTGATCCGCCACTGCGACGTCGACACTGGTGGCACTTTGGCATTGGAATACCGAGCGAGTTCCGATAACGGTAGAGCAATCTCTGCTGTCCAGTAGTGTAGCCGCTCGGCTACCACAATACAGACATGCACTCGATTAGCACAATGGCAGCAACTGACAGCACAACGACCATATCCGTTCATCAGCTCATCAATATCTGCACATACGACGTACTTGGATCGTTCACGCGGCCTTTAACGTACACGGCCGACTGCATGCCACTGTCCAGCATGTCGAACCCATTTGTGGGATCCACGCGCGTGCTGTTTTCATGACCGCCGTCTCGATACGGCCGATTGAGCCACAAGTTCCACGTCGCATTGCGAGCATTGAGTTCGAATTCCTTGTAGTTGTGCGTACTGCCGTCAGCGTCGACAAACACTTCAAAGTCGTTGTCGTGGAAGACAACGTCATTGTGGTGCGATGCATTGGCCCACACTTGAGTTTCTTCCAAGTACGCGCCAATGTAGAGGAAGCGCTGGTCGTACCGGAGCTTGACTTTCGTGGTAAACCAGGGCTGGGACCAGAACGTCGGGCCGCGAATGTCTTGAAAGGCGGCGGTCCACGGCACTTGGGCCCACGCCGTGTCGTTCAAAAGGCCGTCAATAACGATACGTGGGGTGATCGAGGGCGTCGGTCGAAGTGGATGGAGATGGTATGCTGCATATTGTCGGGGGTGGAGGTGATTGAAGTCGCATGGACTCGAAAAGGTATCTGGAAGTCCATTGACTGCAATCGCAGAAGGAGTTATTTGGGAAGACTCGAATAGCGCTTTTGGTTGGTGGTCAGTCTCAACGAGTGGGGATGAAAGGCGAGCAGCTATCTGTGCATCTGAAGACGGCAGTAGCCACGAAACAACGGACAGTGAACGGAGGACACTGCTGTGCATTGATACTGACGGGGCGAGCAATGAGTTGCGTATGTTTATCTCTGCTGCTGCTGCTTCACACAGCCGTTCGTTGGTCGTATCAAGTCAACACGTGAATGCGTTCGCTCCCTCTTTTCTCTTTGGGCTTTATCCAATACAAGGAGCAAATACACGACCAACTGACAGCATAAAGTCACACGTAACGGTCGTTCGCGCTGAAGTGTTCCTGCTGCATCGGCAGTCCCCCCCACTATCCGTCGTACTACCGTAAGGGATATGTCTGCGCGTGACGAGGTGGATCAAGTATGATGTTACTTGACGATCGACCGATCGATCGATACTGCTCTGGTTCACAGGACAAGGGAGTTGTGTGATGAAGCACTGGACGGTATCCTATCCGCTCGTGACAGAGCATTGGATGAAGAGAGATGTAGGCAGCACTCGGACATCCTCTTGTCTGTCCTTGCGCTTACGAGTCATGAGAGCTTTCTAGATCCAGTGCCAGCTCACATGTTCGGCACAGCCTCATTCAGGACCATTTCAAGTCAACGTGTCCTTCCTGCAGCTTTTTCTCGTGTCAATTCGCGCGCAGGTGTCGATAACGAACACGGTGCATTGAATACCACATCGGTTGTTGAAGAAGTAGTACGCGTGCTACAAGCAGCCAGCAGCTAGTACACTTCCCATGACGGATGCTGTATCGAGTCAAGCGGCTTCAACGTCAGGAGCTCTACTTGGTTGAAGAAGGACACGTTCCGAAGATCTCTACCGATACGGCTCTTGCAGCATGTAACGAACGCACTGATGGCATCATTTCGAGTATGTGCGCTGGCAGTTGCGCTGGTAAAGAAGATACGTTTGTGGATTGCAGCTTTGCCACGCACAGCTACTGCCGAGACGTGCATCAGCCATCGGGTATAGATACAGTGCCCCCTTCAACATGCAGAACGCCACGTGTGGTATGTATATGGTTGCGAGCTACAATGACCCTAAGCTGTCGCTAGCTCATTCTCGCGGCAGCATTAACGAGTCTTTGAAGTCACCTCATCACTTCGGCCCTTCGATACGAGCTGATGACTAACTACAAACTATTGGATAAAGCGTCTTGACAAGAGGGCTCCATGAAGTTATAGCACCCACTTGCCGTCGTGCACGGTAAAGCGAAAGCTGGTGCACACAGCAAGTGATTTGTACAGCGAATACGACTGTCAGGTGTCAATGAAGAGGAGACAAAGCTTTGGCTATGGAAGCAGCCACGTTTCACACGACCAGACCCCGCGAGCTCGAGTGCGCACGGCACTCTAAACTCTTTGTCCTGCGTAGCTGCAACGTTCCATGCACATCTTCAACAACTTCAGTGTGATGCACAGGAGCACAGCGTCTCGCGCAAGCAGTCGAGCACATCAATAGGGATACCTGAGCTACTACGATGACCACAGTTGTCGCAAAATTGCACTGAGGTTTGCTCTCACGTCATCCAGTGTGCCGCTCCTGACCCTGCACCTGTACCTTCACGGCTATCACTGATCTCACATCAAGCACAACTTTACCGTATGACGTGCAGAGTCCACCATACCGCTGCTGTATTGCCATCTTCTCTTTGTTGCATTGCGTTAGTGACAGTATCACTTCATACACGAAGCACATGAAAGCCTTCCGCATGAAGTCGAGCAGTTGTAGCACAATCGTAATCGTTCCTAGATCAATAGATAGCAAAAGCTATGTACATCGAAGCACCGTCATCGAAACAGATACGCAGCAGCTGCAGGTCCGTCATGCAATGGTAACGAAGCCATGTCAATGTCCATTATTCGTACGTGCTGTCACTTCAGCGCTAGCGTTGGCATCTCCTCACAGTCTCCCCACAGCGCTCTGATGTACGTCGGTGAAAAACTGCCAAATCGTAGCTGCCAGGTGAGCATAAAACGCTTTGTGCCGTTCTGGAGACGGAAACTTGTGGCCCCCATCGTGCTCCAGCAGCAGTCGCTCGAGCGGACTCCCACGGGCATGTGGCGTGTACATGTCTTTCAGTCCCAACGACTCTTTGTACAAACTATCCTTCTGGCCAACCACGTGGATCGACGGAACTGGCACCAGCATCGGCTTGCCGTCGTGCGTCTCGAACAGCCCCCGCACGTTAATCCCTTGGGGGTACACGCCACACACACAGAGTGCAAGTTTCCACCTCTGTTTGGCCGGCGTCGTTTCGCGGTAATAGTACATGGACAAGATGGTGAGCATGATCGCCCCTTGCGAGAACCCGACGGCCAAGTCAAACTCGCCCAATTCCTGGAGCTTTTTGTCCACGTTTTCAATCGCTTGATCGACGCCCTCGAATCGATAGCACCAGCGCTTGGTGAGACCCTGTGGGCCACCGATCGTAGCTTCCATGTCCTCTTTTTCCAAGTCTTCCGTTCGCCACCACTCAAAAAAGGGCGCCAAGTGGCCAAATAGTTTCTCGATTTTCGGGCTCGGCGGTCCACGAGCTTCAAACGAGCCATTGAGGTAAACGAACTCCGTGGTTGGGCCCAGTGCCTCACGGAGACCCCGAGTCTGGATCTCCATCACTTGACGATTCGTGTGGATGCCATGGAAACACAAGACACGCAGCTGTTTTGTGGACGGAGACGATGAGGCCATGCGGCTGAATCGACAAAGCGAGAGACAAGAGACGCAATGACCGACTCATCAGCTCAGCGGACGTTTTTTAACGGGTACCCGTTTTATAACGGACATGTGGTGTATGATGGAGGCTGTAATTACAGAGCGCTTTCACGATCGGACTCAAAAAAAAAGGGCGACGAGACGATACAAATGGTCGAAAGCTACTGAAGGGACTCTTGCGCTGTGTTGGCAATAAGGGTCGTTTTTCGATGTGGGGTCGGTTATAGTGCTTTATCGCCACACTGGTCTCTATTAGGTGCCAGCGTCGGAATAAGTTGTCAACGCTGGCGGCCACTAAGCTCGCGTTATAGCTGCTGAGCGATGAGTGCGCTTCAGAAAAAGCTTTTCATGGATTTGGCGTCACGGGTGACGTTTTCATCACCATAGTCCATGATTTGTCTGTTTGTCGAAATGACGGCCCAACGTAAACCACAAGTCCCGAATAAGTTGTGTGCGGTTGTTGCGTTGCAAACGTCGAGCTGCAGCTTGCGAAGAGGCCTATGAACGGTCCGCTGACTTTGTGCGAAAACAATACGCAAAGAGCAGAAACCATGGTGAGGCTGATTGTGTCAGTCGTCACGATTCTTCCCTACGATGGGTGCACATCTACAGTAAGTCCGCCGAGGCTCCCGCCCTTCTCTGACTTGTAACCTCGTCCAGAATGTCATCATTGGTCGGACTCGGTGAAGCACTCTCCTCATCTCGGATGTGACCGAGAAGCTCCGAAATCGACATGGAATTCCAAACATGCAGCTGTTCAAGCTGAACTGCCAGCTCCGACTCCAGCTTATTCTCGGCCTCCTTTATGCCCTATGAATCATCGATGTTCTCCTTCATCTCCTTGGCACTTCGTAACACAAGAGGCTTCGCAGACGCTTTCGCTGCTTGAACCAAATGACAATAGCGGTGACCGATACCTCGGTCCAGACGGCTACATGCTAGTTCGTGGCAGCAGGTCGTCGGCTCTGTAGATAGTGCCGACATCATCACGCTACGTCAATCGATCTCATTATGCAAATGATAGCGGCAGTTGTGAACGAAGTCGTGGTCTTGCTTCTGTTTGCGCTGCTCTGCTTTTCCGATCAGCTGACTGCATTTGCCCGATGCGTGTTGCTGCAACAACCACATATGTGCGAACCCTCGCTGGCTGTCAAAATCTTTCCTTACTGAACCCAAACGTTATCGGAGGAAGTTAGTCTTGCGTGATGTCACCTACTTTTCGCTGGTCTACGGCACTGTATCGCGACAATGCTCCGGCAGTGCAAAGGTACTGCTTCTTCAAACGTCTAAAGGTCCGTTGTAAAGCACCACTTGCCATTTCGTTCCATAGTTGCGTTCATGATACGCCTTACTTTCTTGTCGTGTCTTTTACCCACGGTATCTCCATGGTAGACACTTACTTTGGATCTGCTTGCCAGCTACAAACAGTACTAGTGGTGCGTCTCCATGTTCAACGGCGATTCAGTCATGTGGTGCTTCTTCAAGTGAAAAGCATGAATCACTTAACGCTAGCTAAGTCTTGCTGAGCAAACAAAAGCAGGAAGTAGGGTCTACTTGTTGTTCCGATCCGTTCTAGCTTGGAACAAAGGCATCCCGCTCGATGTATCGCTTGTCTGTTCGCGGCTTGCCACTGGCCGCTTCGGTCATGATGAACTTAGTCACGTGAAAACGCTGATGTTGAGTGTTTCTGTTGTTGCATGAACACGAGCCGAAAAGATCTCTCGAAGCATTCAGTCGTGCCGCTCCTCTTAGGTGCTACTACCGACTTTGCCCGTCAAGCCATCGATGTTCAACATAACATTGCCTTGGCGATTGGCGACAAGCAGCTCCGACAGCAAACTGTTCGACGTGTCGCCCGACACGACCGTCATCTTGTTCTTCGCAAGCGATCCAAGCATATCCAGTTTCTTCATCTCCAGCTCGTGTCGACGGTAGCTCGCCAACTGGCTTGCTGCAGCCCCCTCGGCACGAGCAATAATCTCGGCCGCTGTTGCCTCGGACGTGACGCGAATCTCACTCGATGTGGCCTCTAATTGCAGTTGCATCGCAGCCTTCTCGGCATTGATCAGGCCAATCTCAGCATCGCAATGCGCCATGATTTCTGCTGCGATCCGCATCCTCTCGGCATCGATCTCGGCAATTTTCAACGACGCTTCAACGCGGAGGTTATCGCAAGTCACAATCGTCTTTTGGCAAATCTCTTCGTCTGCGAGTTCCGACTGTGCATTGATCAGGTCGATCCCTTTGCGAATCTCGGCACACTTGGCCTTACCCGTCTGCTCTTCTTCCATGTACATCATCTTGCGCGCGAGTTTCGTCGTGTCGAGCTCCTCCTTGTAGTGCAGCATCTGCATGTCACTCAACTGTTTCATGTTTTGCTCTTTGATGGCGCTCAAGTGCGTCGTGCGACTTTGCATCTGCGTTTGGAATTCCAGGGGTAGCGTCACGTTTGTAATAGCAACGCTGGTGATCTGTACACCGTAGGCATTGAACTGGTCATTCAGACTGCGTCGAATGTCCTCCGTGACACAATAGAGCACCTTCTTCTCTCCTGAAGGATCGCTCGGGGACACTGTCTCCTTTATCTTGGGCGAGTGCAACTCGTCGTTCGCGACTCGATCTGTACGAAAGTTGAGCGCGCCTGTCTTGAACCGCTCGCGCATGGTACCATCACGAAGCTGGTAGACCTCCGTGTGCTCCACACTGCGAGCAAGCGCGCGAACTGCTTCATCTTGTGCCGCGCGTAGCTGCACCTCGAGTCCGTTAGGACCTAATTCGTAGACGAATCGACGCACAAGCTCTGGATTTTCGCCCTTGAGCTCGTCGCCCATGATGCGCAGGATGAGACACATGTCAATGCCCACTGTCACATTGTCGGCGGTCTTGCAGCCTTTCACGGGCGTGTCAAACACAATGTACTGCTTCGTGACCAGGTGAGCCACTTTGGTAAACACGGACGCAAAGTGTTTGCCCGGCGGCCACACGGGCGTCGAGCTGCCGTCTGACTTGACATAGTCCACGTCCCGCCCTTGACTCTGGACGAGGGCGTACGTGCCTTCGGGAACGCGAACGTAGGGCTTCATGGGGCTTCGACCAGGATTGATAATGACCACCGTATTGCCGTCGTAACAAGCTCCGAACGTGCGGTTGGCCGAGTCAACGCGGCCAGCGTTGCGGTACAGCAGCCGCGTTTGGTGCTGCGGACCACCGGGAAGCGTATCGGCATGGAGGTGACTGCCCCCCGCTCCCATGACAAGAACGAGTGTGTGTGGAGAGAGAGAGAGAGAGAGAGACTGCAAGAGGTTGAGAAGAGAGAGATAGAGAGAAGAGATGCAGCGAGTTGTGCAGGAGGTTCAACTTGGACAATGAGCTCTTTGGTGTGTGGATTGCTGACGCTGCAATGGGTACACAGACTGCGCTGCCCACGTTGAAGTTCGCACGTATGGGTACAGCCGTCGCAATGCGTTTCATTGGTTGTTGCGGATGTTGAAGTTCGCGCGCGGTAAGTGGGACAAGAGGGGTCCAGTTCGCCACGAGCGACTCGTCAGGAGCTCTCTATGCCGTGTCGTACATAAAGAAATGGGTTCAAACAGCCACCCAGTGCACGTCGCCGAGCAGCGGGCGAGCGAACGTCGGTCGACCTCATTGATCAACCGGCCGCTTCGTGCGTTGGTCTACGCGCCGACCGTGTGACGGCAGTCCACTGCCCATGCTCGCGACTACTGGCGACGAGGCGACGCGCTATAGCTACCGCGTGAACCACCTCGTGCAAAAGGACATTCGCAAGCCCATTCACGCAATGAAACACTTTAACGCCAACGTCGTTGACGGCCGCATTCCCATTGTGCTCACGCCCACGTACTCGACGTTGTTGACGCTGTTTATGAAAGTGCCGTCAGGTCTCTGGGTGTTCAAGCAAACGTGGAACGCGCACGCGGGCATGATGGACCCTGGACTCAAGATGTGCTGGCCAGCGTGGCACCGCGTGTCCCACATTGTCACCAAGCAAGCCGTGACGTACTCGAACCCTGTGCGTGGGTGTCCGACGCAGGACAATGTCATGGTGGACATTGACATTTCGATCAGCTTCCAGATTGGTCCAACAGCAGACGACGCGTACACGTTTGTGTACTCGCTCGGCGCGCATCGCTTTGACGAGCTGCTCTATAGCCTGACCGAAGAAGCCATTCGCGGGCTGGTGCACTCGGTGCGTCACGACCAAGTGCACGATCTGCGCGAAGAGTTTGCCATGGGCATGAAGACGGACCTCAACGCCAAGCTCCGGCGCTACGGTGTCTTGATCCACAATGTCAAAGTGACGAACGTCGACTTGCCACTTGCACTGTCCAAGACACTGGAGGAGACAACTGCGTTCAAGACGCGCATGGAGGAACAGGAGAAGAATCACGAGAACCAGATGCGGATGCTGCTGAACCAAGAGACGCAGAAGCTCACGGCACTCGAGAAGCAGAATGAGCGTGCGATCCAAGATCTCCAGGCTGAAAGTGTCCGTGCAGCTATTATTCGAGACGAGCGGCGCACGATCGCCGAAGCAAAGGCGCAAGTCACGATTGCCGAGCACAAGTCAGCCAACGAAAACAAGATCAAGGCAGCAGAAGGCTACAAAGCGAACGCTGTTGCAAGTGCGACTGCCAAGACGGTAACGAACAAAGCTCTACCGACTGTAGAGCTTACCAACCTCAAGGCGGACTTTGACCAGTTTGTCAACGTGGCAAAGATGAACGGCGAGGCGAAGATTGATGCTGCAAAGAAGGAGGCGGCACAGATTGTGGCGAATGCTAACGCGGAGGGCAATTCGGCCGCGTTCCTCAAGTCCAAACGGGACTATGATTACAACGAGAAGAAGATTCACATGCAAGCTGCTCTACTGGAGGCCGTTCCGCTTGTCATTAGCGGGAAGAATGGCGACCAGCTCATTCAAGGCACGTTGTTGCAGACGTTCACGCCAGCAAAGTAGCTGGTAGTCAACAATTGTGTCGAATGGAAGACACGGCTCGTCCAGAGGAACGCGAAAGCTGCCACGTGCATTTTTCAAATACACTTCCCGTCACGTTTGTATACCCTGTGCTTCTCAGCCACGACGAACAGCACAGTGCGTACAACAAATGTGTTTGTCGCAAGAGCGTTTTATAGAGCGTTTATAAGGTGTTGATGCCCAGCGGGATCGGTGTCGTTTCGATCGTTTCTTCGTGAGCTGAAACGGATCGATCGCCTGAGACGCCGCACATAATTGTAGACCGGTGCAGACAAATGCGTGAGAAACGCTCTAGCGACAAACACATTTGTTGTCGAAACTGTTGCGATTCGCAGCTCGCACTTGACAGATCTGCTAGCAATGAACGCGTTTATAGCAGTACACGCGTTTCGTCTAAGACGGCACAGCATAACACGATCCAACTCGCCTTGCGTCAAATGCTACGCAGTGATATCTGCACGTGTAGAGCTTTTGCTGGAAACGGTCGTCGCCAATCTCAACACCGTTTGTCTTCTTGCTACTTTTGTCGGACATTCACGTGCAGCTACAACATCCGTATTCCTACCCACAAGTCTTCGGCTGCGCGGAGTAGACGCTACTCTGACGAGAAAGCTCCTGATAATCACTTTCTAACATGTGCCAAAGCCACTAGTGCCATAAACCATATATTCCAAACCTTGGAAATGGTATCGCATTGCGTCACTTCATCTAAACGACTTCTGGCACACTGACGATCTTTAATAGCATAAAGGCATATCTCCTCGTCAACTGTTGTCGCCCCTATCCCGCGTCAGAGCTTTGATTGGAATAATGTATGGAAAATCCTGTGCTATCCATGACAATACATGTGCCGTCCGTCTCGTGGCTTACTGGCTAATATTCCACACAATGATCAACTTTTTCACCTTCAAAAGAAAAAATCACATACAAAAATTATGCCCGGAAAACGTACGTGCGCTATCATCGACGACGGCTCTGTCTGTGGTCCCTCTCGTCCGTAGACCGATACAATGTGTGACGCTACCGGTGTGTCTTCCTGCAGGTTACTTGTGTGGCACCATCTTCTGCTTCGTCGGCTTTGTCTTCCTGGTACATAAACTTCGCTGACGACTTTCGACGGTCGCCGAGGCTTTGGCTGCAGTGAATTTTGTACTAAGCTTTTGACTGTTTTTTGTACAATACTGACAACTGGTGCAGGTAATGGTGGGGTCACTGCTCAAGTTGCAGCCGCTGTATATTCTCAACGCCAAGATGCCAAGTGCAGGGGCCACCTCGTGCTTTGAAGCTGGTGCGTTGGTCGAATAGCCTTCATCGGCTCTGCATACAGCTGCTTTATCGTGCGCTCGAGCTTGTGCGTGTATATATGTCGACATATGTGTACGTGGGAAACTAACGTGATCGTGTGCGTACTGCTTGATGCGGTGGATCGGTCGAACGTCGTGACAACGGATTGGTGACTCGACCCGTAGCCTTGTTGTACGCCGTCGCGATGGTCGTGTGCTACACAATGTGGCGGCAAGAAAAGATGCGACGAAGCGACGCACCGTTTGTCTCGGACACGTTCACGCTCAAGCGCGATCGCGTCGCCTACTATGGCTCGGACGACTCGGACGAAGAGCTACCGCTGGCGAAACATCGATCGCCTACGCCCCGGTCGGTATAGACGCTTGCACGTTGCTACCGTCCGAGCACGCCCCGGACGCGTGATATCTAAATCCACCTCATCTGTTTGTCTACATAGCTGCTTTTTTCTGTCTCCATCGCGCACGAGTGTGCGTAAGTTTTTCCACTCGAGTTGCTGTGCCGTCACGCGTCACACGCCATTACTATCTACGGATATCATCCCACCACGTAGCAGCTGTCGCGTCGCGTGTGTCGATTAAATTGTGTACGCGTCCACAACTTTTGCACCGATCTTCCCGCTTGCACCACGTGCTGCCTACCGTTCAATAGCAAGAACGATTTGAAACAAATAGCACAACCCAACACAAGTGGGGGGGGTCTTTTTTTCTCTATATTTCGACATCGTGGCCGCCCGATTGCATAATATATAATCCGAACAACGTCGCCCGACGAGAACGTAAACTACTAAAATAAAAAACATTCCTCCCACGTGATCCGCGAGCATGAGCGACTGGCAGCAGTCGAGCGCTGCACCGCCCGCCTCGTCTGCGAGCGCGCACGAAGACGGAGCCGCCGCTCGGGAGCAGCACCGGGAGCACGTGCAGTCGGTTCTCACGCAGCTGCCGCGCGTCGCGTCGGAGAAGGAGCTCCCGCACAGTGCGAGTCAAACGGACGATGTCCAGTCAGGTGCACTGACGACGTACACGGAAGCGTCGGGTCGTGATGGAGAAAGTACGTGCGATAGGCAGACGTTGAGCCCGGGGGACGGCCCATTGCGCGCGGGCCCAGCGTTCACGGGGCTGTCCAATCAGGGCGCGACTTGCTACATGAACAGCCTATTGCAGAGCATGTTCATGACGCCTGAGTTTCGTCAGGGACTCTATCGCTGGACGTGCAGCAATGCAGAGGACAAGGTGCTGCTGGACCAGGAGGTGGGCGAAGAAGGAGACGAGCAGGAGCATGGGCAGGAGGAGGAGGAGGAGGAAGAGGAGGAAGAAGAGGCTGATGAAGATAACATTCCATTGCAGCTGCAAAACCTGTTTGCCAAGCTGCAGCTCACGACGCAGGATGCTATTTCGACCAAAGCATTGACGAAAAGCTTTGGCTGGACGGGAGCTGATGTGTTCCAGCAACACGACGTGCAAGAGTTGTGCCGAGTGCTGCTGGATGCACTCGAGAGGTCGTTCAAGGACACGGTGAATGAGAACCTCGTGAACGATTTGTTTCAGGGCGCGCTCAAGGACTATGTGCAGTGTCGCGAGTGCGGCTACGAGAGCTCTCGGATTGACACGTTTCTTGACTTGTCGCTGGTGATTCGACCTTTTGGGTCTATGGACATGATGAAAACTGTCGAGGAAGCGATTGAGTTTTTTTTGCGGCCAGAAGTGCTGGACAAAGAGAACCAGTGGGTGTGCGACCGATGCAAGGTCAAGCGCGATGCAATCAAGGGACTCAAGTTCTCGAAACTACCGTATATCTTGATGCTGCAACTAAAGCGATTTGACTTTGACTACGCTACGATGAACCGCATTAAACTACACAACAAAGTCACGTTCCCAAAGTATCTGGATATGAACTCGTACGTGAGTGACGAACACGGCGGCGCTCGCGGAAAAATTGCCCGGAAAATGTCGATGGAACGCCATGTACTGGAGACAAACAATCACCATAACAAATCATCTGAAGGGTTGACGCCCACACCATCTTCACCTCCCGTCACGCCGTTATGTGCATCACTGGGCGAAAAGGTGCACCGCTTGTCTTCCATGGATGAATCACAACCGATCGAATTCGAGGACGGAGACGAAAAGAAGAATGATGATGATGAGGATGATGATATGTACAGCACAACTTCACCCGATACGTGGAGCTTATCATTTGACCCTGAAGCCTTGATCAAGCGGTGCGGACCCCATGTGTACGAGTTGTACTCTGTGCTTATTCACTCTGGTAGTGCGCTGGGTGGGCACTATTATGCGTATATAAAGTCTTTGGAGTCAGGCATGTGGTACAACTTCAATGATGCCAATGTTAGCGAGATTTCTGACGCGGAGCTAAAGACAGCGTTCGGAGGTGCCGCTGGCACCAGTTATAGCGCGCGGTACAGCACATGTGCGTATATGCTCCTGTACCGCTTGGTTTCTCCAGAAAAGAATGTCAACGTGATTCTGGCAGACAATGTACCTCAGTTTCTAAAAGACAGGATCCGCGCCGACGAAGACAAGATTCGAAGACTTGAGCAAGAGCGGCTAGAAATGTCAAAGAAAATGCAAGTGAAGTTCTATATGAAGGGTTGTAAACCCAAAAGCATCGAGAAGGCAATCTATCTATACAAGAATCTAACGATCCGCGAAGCGCTGGAAGTAGCGCATGAAGAGTTTGCAAAGGACAAGGATATCATAGTGCCATCGATAGGGAACGTGAGGTTACGCGGATACAACGACTATAATTGTTTGCTGTCCGATACGTACAGCGGCAAGGAGGACATGACGTTGTCATCACTAGGATTCTACACAGGCCAACAGATGTTCCTCGAAGTCAAGAGCGATAGTGAGGTGTGGGAAGAGCATGACCCGATGAAGTTGCAGCTGTTTATTCGTCGCTTCGTGGACCCAGAATCCGACAGCGTGGGCAAGTTATCCTCTGACTCGCTTATGGCAAGGTGTGTCCAGGTGGAGGACGATGCAGACATTGCATCCCTTTGCGCTTTGGTTGCAAACAAGTTTTGCGTCCCAGCTAGTCACAAAATCCGCCTCATCAAAAAGAGTGCAACCACGTACAGCATCTCTGCTGCCAAGGTGCTCAACGCCAACGACGAAAAGCATACACTGAGCCTGCGACTCAAGACGGACTTGCACTTGGTAAATGGAACGGAATTGTACTTCGAGGAGACGTCAGACCTATCGCTTGCGTCGCCAGCCGAAGCGTTTTTCGAGCGCGAAGCAAACATGATCACCGTCAATTACAAGTACCTAGCGAGGTCAGCGCAGCCAATTCGTATCGATCGACGTAACACGGTTCGAACGCTGAAGGAGAGCATAAGCGCTGAGATCGGACTACCGTCAAGCGCATTCAAGCTTTTGCGCGGCATCAACAGTGCAGGCGTTGAGATCAAGGCGATTGATAGCACTCTATCGAAGCTGTCGATTGGCTCGAATCACACGGTCTTTGCGTTGGAAGGTACTCCGTTGAACACTGGAGAGTACAACTTCAGGTTGATCTTTTATAATCCGGTACGCGCAGACGGGACTTCTACCGAGACCAACGACAGCAGTAGCCAGGATCAGGCTACCGCCAGGCGCGCACCAGCTGAAGGCAGCGATAGTGAGGGTCTGTTTAACATTGATGAAGTATTGGTGTCAACCGCGAAGGATGAGTCGATGCTGAATTTCGTGAACCATATCGTCATTAGCGAGGAGATGCTAGTCGAAGACATTCGAAAGAAAGTGTGGGATGAGCTCGTTGCGAAGAACTTTGTGGATGTGAGTGACGGACGTTTGACTCCATCCCACATCCGTCTTCGTGACTTGCGTCAAAACACCATGACAAATATCTTGGTCGATGGACAGAAGCTCGTGGAAGCATCGAAACTGGCAGTATATGAAGGAAGAAGCATTGTAGCGGAAGTTTTGACAGAACCGGAAACGTCAGAAGTCAGTCACCGGATCATTGAATTCGTTTACGTCAATCGCGCAACATGGCGCTTTGTCGATAAATTGCGACAGGAGGTGCTCGTTTCGACGTTGGAGGAAGAGGGCCATCCTGGGACGAACTTAGCAGCAGTTGCTAGCGCTGCATTGTCAATACCGGCAGAGCGACTGCGCTTTGCACGTGTCCCGTATCAACGTGACTCGGTCGACATCACCGAGGTGGTAACATACAACTACTTGCCCGCAACCTCCTTTGCACATAAGGGGACCGAGTATCAGGAACTCTTTCTTGTGATTGACATAGACGTGGAAATGGCGTACATGAGTAGCCACGAGCGCCAGCTCATCCAGCGTTTCTTGACCAAGAGAAGCAAAGAAAAGGCACAAGCCCTGTGCACAAAGTACCCGCTGAGTGGCAACAGCACCTACCAGCACCAGAAGCCCAAAGAAGCTGCGCTGGTCATCCGTACCCGGTCCAGAACAAGCGAGCACAAAGGCGCCGGTAGTGTCGGAAGCAGTAGCGGCAAAACCTCGAATGGGGTCAGCATCCGCACACCAAGTCATCGTGCTGGAAAGACCGCGTCGCGTCATCATGCCTCATCGGACACGGATGATGAGGATGACACCGATTTCATGACGGAAAAGACCGAAGCCTTGGACCTGGATCTCTTCGGAGGCCTCTCGTAGCGCCAACGTTTATTCGTGCCAAGACTATTTGCAGGCAAGAACCTTTGGCTTTTGGCAAACCACAAGCGGCGCACAGGAGCCTATTTCAGCACGACAAACTACGATGTGCGATACATACAAGTGTTAGTACCGTGAATTGGATAAGTGAAGTAAACACTGTCTACACACTGACAACGACTAGCGTGTATAGAATCGACAATGCGAGTCAATGTGCGCGAACAATACCACTGCTTCAAGTCCAGTCCCCGCTTTGTTTGCTCAGACATTCAGCACCCACAGCCACGATCCAGCACTTGCTCGCACACGCTGTTATTGCGAACTTCCCTGACAAGTGCAGCAGGGTCCTGCATTGGCTTCTAGCAGCTCGTCAGTGTTGTCCATCAGCTCCGACTCCTTCGAGCCCTTCAGCGTCGGCACGTTGTTTCCTTTTTATCCTCTTCTTGTGTCGACTGAACTGCACATCTGCCCCGTCAACGTAATCGGAGTCAACCTCGCTGTTGTCCTCTTCATCGCTGCTACTGCTGAATAACGTCTCCATCGTCTCGTACGACTCGCGCGCTTTGCGTCTCCTAGGTGCTCTTTTCTTTGCTACTTGCTCGTGCAAAACCTGCACCTCCTTCATCAATTCTTCAAGCTTTGCTTCGAGCTCGCCGGCAATCCGTTTCCACTCATCCTTCGCACGGTTGGCTTGTTCAAGTTCTTCTCGCAGCTTGCGATTTTGCTCGCCGAGCGGAATACTCGAGTCGTGAGAGTCCGATTTGACTGGTCGGTTCGAAAGGCCTCGAGTTTGCTGCAAGAGCTGCGACTTCACACCTGCTAGCTGCTGCTTCAATCTCACCACCGAGCGCTCAGCAGCCGTCTCCTTGTTGACCACGGCCCGGTTCTCGATATTCCGTGCTCTGAATGCGTAACGTAGTGTAGTAGAGGTCTCCTCGTAGTCCACGTCGGCAGGACTGATACACGCGATCATCAGCGTCTTGCTATTCCCACCAAGGCTATCTTGAAGCAGCCGCGTCAGCTTCGAGTCTCGATAGGGAATATGGGCTGTCAGTGGATTTGCGGAACCACGTTTGCACAGCGCGGTGATCACCTTTCCAAGCGCAAGCAGCCCGCGATTGATGTTGACACCTTCCTTAAACCGTACGCCGGCCGAGTTCGTGCGCCGGACGCGCTCAGAACCAGCCAAATCCACCAAATGCAGCTTCGAGAACCGCGTCTCAGTGACCCCTTCCACACTGCGTACATCACGTTGCTCCATTTTCAGTGTGCAGATGGCATGTGAGCGACTCGATCGAGCATTCATCTTTGTCGAACCCGTGGCACGCACTTGCGCGCCAGCGCGCAACACCGCTCCAGCTTGGTCAGCCGAGTGCACAACGTGTTCACTTAGCCCTGTGACAACGATCCCGCGATCTCCATCACCACGTACGGATAGCCCCGAGGTGTTGGCCAGCAGTTCTGCTCCAGAAGGCGGTTTGGCAGCTAGATCAATAATTTCTTCGTTCAAAATCTGCAACAACAGCAGCGTCAGCTCATATGCGTGTACACTGCACGCACATACACAATATCAACCGCACAAACGACGCACCTCCAAGTACGACAGCTTGAGCACCACCTGCTGCTGCGGCTGTTTCGACTCCTTCACACGTGCAAACACCTGCACATAAAACGAGAAAAAACAGCTTTTTAACGAAAAACTACAACACACACAACAGCAGTCGTCCAATGCTTTGCATTGACCGGCAGCACGTACGTGCTCAATCACGCGCGGTACGATGCCACGATCAGAAAAAGGTCTGTCTGGTGCATCTTCGTTGCCCATTGTGTACCTAAAAGAGTCCGTTACACAAAAAGTGGGTCAGCATGTGCTCAACAATACACACACACACACAGAAAGACACCTCACGGCCGTCGACACTCACGTTTTACCAGATCCTGTCTGTCCATAGGCCAATACTGTTGCGTTGTACCCATTGAAGAACTCGTCGAGTAGCGGTGCGACCAATTGGCTGTAGACATTCTCCTTGAATACCCATCAAGCACACAACTTTTGCGTCAATAGCAGCGCAATGAGTCGCCTATCAACTATGAGAAGACGCAGCAAGGAAAATAAATTACGGCCCAACCCCCACCCACCTGCTGCGCCGTTGTGTCAAAAACAGCGTCAAAATCAAATCGTTTTTCAGCCAATCGGATGCTAGCATCCGTCGCCTCGACGCACGCGTCCGCGCCTTGCGCTGCTTCGGTCTCGCTCAGCGGCCGTACCCGCACAGCTACTTGTACCGTGTTGCGCTTGGCGACGCGGTCGCTTGTCGCAGCGGTCTTGAGCCCGCTAGTTGATGCCGCACGCGCTGCTGCAGGCTGCATTTTCGACGTCAGGAACGCCGCGTGAGGTTTTTCATGCACGAACGCCGTCACGGATTGGATGAAAAGACGCATTGTTTCAGCAAATCAGCAACGCGATATCTAACTGGCTTGCTTCCCGTGATATGAACGCTGTGGGAAAAAAGCGGCACAGCGCAAATAACCGCCGCAGCGCCGAGTGGTCTGAGAAGGCGCGCGAGCGTTTGGCCGTCGCTCTGTCCCGACGCAAAACATGATGGAATCAGAGCACACGGAGAATATCACAGAGGAGAAGCCGCTGGTAACGTCGTCGCTATTGTGTGCTGTAGTTGCGTGCAGAAGGAACGAGCGAAGCTCACTGACAGTCTCGTGGCGTGTCTTTCTCCTGCTGTGTGACGGTTCGATGTGTGTTTGTAGCTGTCCGAGCATGCTGTGGGTATCACGATATACAAGGAGGAAGACGATAGACAGGAGGAGATGATTGTGCTCAAGGTCAAGACGCTCAGCGAGAAGCCGCTGCGTGTCGAAGTGGCGCTATCGGCCACTGTAGCGGAGCTCAAGGAGCTCGTGAAGGAAAAAGCGCACGCAGAAGACAAGTTCCTGCGTCTGATTCATCAAGGCAAAATGTTATCGGACGATAGCGTGACGCTAGCGAGCTGCAAAGTCAAGGACGAAGACTTTGTCCACTGTGCCATGAGCTCGACCCCATCGAAAGCGGCAGTCCAGCAGGTGTGAGAGCTGCTGCTGCTCTTGTTTGACGTATGGGCGCGTTACTGATTGCAGACTGTCGTGTTATGCAGATGCATGCTAGTGACAGTGACATCGAGGAGCGGGAGGACCCGGCCACACGAAGAGGCTTTGACCGACTCCGTGATCGTCTCAGTCGCGAGGAGATCCAGGCGCTGCGTCTGTATTTCTACCCACAACTTTCAGTGTACATCAGTCAGGCAGAACGCGTCGATGGCGAGGGCAGTGAAGACCGGATATTTCGACTGGAAGACGAGTGGATGGCGTCCCAGGGTCCACAGTCTGAGTTTGGTACGGACGCTCGTGTTGTATGTCGCGTGTGTAAGAGTTGACTGACTGTATGGTTTCCCTGTGTTTCCATAGCCCTCAACGTTGTACCTACCGCTCGCGCTGCAATGGACGCGCAGATTGAAATGAACGGAATGAACACCTCGATTCTAGCAGCAGATAATGAAGGCACTGGAACGGAGTTTTTGTGGGGGGTTCTTGATGGGTCTCCTGCTCGGTGTATTTATGCTTCTCATGGTAAGTTGTCATCCCTGCAAGTGTGTCGAAACACCTTTGAACTTGCAGCTGACATGATGTGCATGCGCTTGTGCTGTAGCTCCTCGACCGGTCTGTCCCTCGCAAGCAAAAAGTCGGCCTGCTGCTCGGTGTCAGCATGAACTTTTTCCTGAGTGTCGTCCCGCGAGCTGTCTCGGACCAATAAAGCGTCCACGATCAACTGACTTAGGAAGCGTAGCTGCTGGTCACAGTGCGTTCACTTGTTGCCGCTCACTTACCTGCTGTGAGCGTGCGCGTACCCACTATAGTTGCGCTAGGCTGTGACTCGCCCTGAATTGACCTGTATCAAAAATGAAAAGTGTGGTGTACACTAGATTCGCGTCGACCTTTCGGCCAATCAGAACGGACCAGGACTGCCGTGGCCTGCAAATGCCGTCGACCTGCTAACCCTACAACCCGATGCTGCCAGTCGACGAGCCTCGTTCCTGTGGGGAGGAGGGCAACAGTAGCAGTAGTACAGGACGCAAGCGCCGTCGAGCTGCAGGTGGACCAATGGGCAAGGAACTCACGCTCGAGCAGAAAGCCGTTGTCAAGATGTACGTGACGCGCGGCGCCAACGAGGGCGTCGTCACGTGCTGCTACTGCGACAAGGAGATCTCGTCGCGCAACGTCGATCGCTGGGCATCGCACCTACGAGGGTGTGCCAAGACTCCGGAAGATATCAAGGCGCAGATCCGACCGGCTCGAGTCAGTGAAGCGACACAGGCCACTAACGGCTCCTCAACGTCCGTTCCCGTTGCGCCGGAACCAACGAAGCTCAAGACGCAGGCGGCCAGTGCTGCAGTGCTTGCGACTCCATCCGTAGCGGTACCTGCAGCGCCGACGAGTGTCGCGATGGTCGCCCCAAGCCCGCCGTTGTCGTCGCCAGTTCAGTCACTGGGCAGCAGCTTCAACGAAGTGTTCAAGGTGCATGTGTCAAAGGACTATATGAAGTTCAATGCGGCGCACTTTATCGCGTACAAGGTGTCAATGGCTGCTGTGGGGCTGTGGAATGCAGCACGGTGGATCGCTTGCTCTGACTTGCATGGGCTGGCTGGTTTGTCCATGTGTCTGTTTCATTCCTGCTCGATGCAGGGGTTCCGGGAGAAGCTGCACGGACACAACTACCGCTTGGCTGTCACGATCACTGGACAGGTCGGCAAGGACGGCTACGTGGTAGATTTTGGCGAGATCAAGAAGATCTCACGGGTGATCTGCAATGAGTTGAACGAGTCATTCCTCGTGCCAATGAATAGCGATGCTCTGAAGGTAGGGGTGGCGCTGGTGAACCTATCGCGTATTTCTTGGTGCGTCACGATGCATTTCTGACTGGTGCCTTGCCGCAGATCTCTTTCGATGGCACGAATGTACACATTGTCACGGAGGACATGGCCCAGTTTAGGTGAGAGTAGCCATGTGTGTGGTCGTTGCGATGTGGTAGTCGTTAACTTTGATGCACCGCTGTCTGTAGTTTTCCCAAGTCGGACTGTTCGTTGCTGCCGATTGTGCACTCGTCAGCAGAGGAGCTCGCTATTTACATTGTACGTGGCCGACCATGAGTTTCGCGCTGCGGTGCCTCCTGTTTGTTGCTTTCTTACCATCGACCTGGGATATGTACAGAGCAATCAGCTGGTCGACGCTTTCACGCTCGTTGCGCTCCTGGTGCGAATGATGTGGTTGGCACTGCAGTTGTTGACTACTAATCTGTTGTGTGGGTTGTTCGGTTGCAGGATCGTGGCGTGAGTAAAATCGAAGTGAGCATCTCGGAGGCGACTCAACAGTTTGCCTCTTACGAGCGCACCATCTTAGCGTAAGAAACGGCTTGACACGGGAGGGACCTGTTCAAGCGAGACAAAGACGCGTGTTCTGCCATTGTTGCCATGCTGTATTCTGACGCTGCAGACTCGTATTCTGTGGTTCGTATGGTTACTATGTGGACCCCCTCGTCATTCGTTGTTCGTGGTCTCCATCTATCACATACACATACATAGAGGAACGTATCGAGAACAGTTGACCCATCTAACTGGATGCTGTTCCATAATGTGACGAACATGCGGACTGGCTTTGCACACACGTCCTGTCGTACACCATCGCACTTGACCCCTCACGTGCTGTGGCGACGACCAAAGCAGTGGTCGATATTCAAAGATCGGCTCGAAATTTGTCCAATCGCTGCGGTCTGCGAGCGCCCCCTGCCGCCGCCCGCACTTCGTCCGTCGGTAGCCAACCAAAAGCCGCGTGGTGCCCTCGCTCCCCGTCAAAGTCGATCGCCCGCTTCCCACTTGCTGACCGGTCATTCGTCGAAACGCCTCCGAGTGCGCACTCGAGCCCCTCTTTGTTTCCTTTCCTCTTTCCCCCCGACCATCACTCTCAACATGTACGGCGGCAGCAGCGGCGGAGACCGATACAACGACTCGTCCTCGCGTCGTGACTACGGCGGCGGTGGCTACAGCGATGGCTACGGCGGTTCCCGCGGCGGCGGCTACGGCTACGGCGGCGGCGGTGGCGGTGGCTATGGAGGCGGCGGTGGCGGTGGCTATGGAGGCGGAGGCGGAGGCGGCGGCTATCGAGGCGGCAGCAGCGGTCGTGGCGGCGGCTTTGGCGGCGGCAGTGGTGGCGATCTTGGCTCGAACTTGGACACGCATATCCAGTGGGACTTGTCGAAGTTGCCGGTGTTTGAGAAGAACTTTTACTATGAGCATCCGGACGTGACGAAGCGCTCGGACGAGCAGTACGAGAGCTGGAAACGCGAGCACCAGATCATTGTGACGGGCAAAGGCGTGCCCAAGTGCGTGCTGTCGTTCGAAGAGGCGTCGTTTCCCGAGTACGTGCTGGAAGAAGTGGTGCGCCTGGGCTTTGACAAGCCGACGGCGATCCAGTGCCAGGGCTGGCCCATGGCGCTGTCGGGGCGCGACATGGTGGGCATTTCGGCCACGGGCTCGGGCAAGACGCTGGCGTTCTTGCTGCCAGCGATCGTGCACATCAACGCACAGGTTCGTGCGTGGCAGCAGCTGCTGTGTAGAGTTGGTGGATAGTCTGCGTGCGTCTCGTTGGTAGACACATTGTGTGCCGCGCGAAACGAAGACGAGCATTGTTGTGGGCGGATCATGACGATCGTTCACGGTGGTGAACGGAACACACGCGAAGCGCGAGGGTTTGAAACGGTCGGGACGTGTCGCGTGCACGCACGCACGCACCTGCACGTCCACTGCAGGGAGTCGGTGCTCCGTCAGCTTGCGCTGAAAAGCATGCACCGTGCCGTGCAGGTGCTTTGATGCGACTTGCAGTCGACGGTGTCGAGCGTCAGTCGATCCATCCGTCGTGAACAGTGGCGCAGGGCCTCTTGTGGTTGCTGAATGTGCACGACCCAGTGGAGGGAGATGGGTCACCGACCTCGTCGACAGATTGCGTTGGCGACCCGCGGCTGCCTTTTTCTTCTTTTACGACGTCCTCGTTACCATGGATCGGTGCGATCATTGCATTGGTGCGTTGTGGCGATGGATAGAAGAAAAAAGCAGCACGCGAACACCTCAAACCCCTCGGCGCTCGCTCGTGTTTGCTTTCTCGTGCAACCTTTTGCGTGTCTGGTAAGTCTCAGCGGTCACTAATGCTCGGTCTGTGTGATGACGTGTGATGGTGTTGTGTAGCCTTACTTGCAACCTGGCGACGGTCCGATCGTGCTCATCATTGCCCCGACCCGCGAGCTGGCAGTGCAGATCCAAGCAGAATGCAACAAGTTTGGTGCTAGCTCGAAGATCAAAAACACGTGCGTGTACGGCGGTGTCCCCAAGGGTGGTCAGATTGCCGACCTTCGTCGTGGCGTCGAGATCTGTATTTGCACGCCCGGTCGTATGATTGATATGCTGAGCATGGGCAAGACGAACCTTCGCCGAGTGACCTACTTGGTGCTGGACGAAGCGGACCGCATGCTCGACATGGGTTTCGAGCCGCAGTTGCGCAAGATCGTCAGCCAGATCCGTCCTGACCGTCAGACGCTGATGTGGTCGGCAACGTGGCCGAAAGAGATTGTGTCGCTGGCGAACGACTTTTTGACCGACTTCATTCAGGTGACGGTGGGGTCGCTGGAACTGACTGCAAACAAGAAGATCAAGCAGATTGTGGAGGTGATGGACGACCACCAGAAGTACTCTGTGCTGCAGGACCACTTGCGCGACATCTACGAGGGCGGTCGTATCATCATTTTCTGCGAGACGAAACGCGGTGCCGACGAGCTCAGTCGTAATTTGCGCGACACCCGGTATATATGCAAGGCAATCCACGGTAACAAGTCCCAAGAAGAGCGGGACTATGTGCTGCGTGAGTTCAAGGAAGGCAAGACGCAGATTCTGGTTGCTACGGATGTAGCTTCTCGTGGTCTGGACATCAAGGATATCCGATACGTGGTCAACTTCGATATGCCAAAAAACATTGAAGACTACATTCACCGTATCGGTCGTACTGCACGCGCTGGCAGTAAGGGTACGTCGATTTCTTTCTTCACGGCGAGCAACAACGGTCGACTGGCTGGACCGCTGGTCAAGATTATGGAGGAGGCCGGGCAGGAAGTACCCCGTGAGCTGCGCGATCTTGTAGGTCGTGGTGGTGGCGGTGGCGGTGGCCGTGGCCGCAGTGGCTACGGCGGCGGTGGTGGCCGCGGTCGCTGGTGATCATCGCTTCGTGCGCGACGAATGCAGTCTGGAGTCGCAACAGGCGTTTGCTGACAGTGTAGAGAGTACGGTACCGTTCGCTTTTTTCCTACCTAACTTGCAATGGACGAGAGTCATCATTGCGTTCGAAACGAGTTGTTGCTATTGATACTGTTTGCACGTCATTGGTGTCAGCTGCTACACTACTGCGTCAACGTCATCGGATCTCGCGGGTGTGGTGGCGACCGCTTCGTCATGGTCATTCGGAATCAGTCGATCGAAGCGCTCGTAATCGATAATCACGCGGTCGCGCTCAATCACGGCAAAGTCGTCAAAGCGCATGTCGTACGCAAAGTCGTCCCAGAAGTACATCTTGCGTGCATACACGTTCTCCGAAAAGGTCGTATCGAGCCCCGTGAGCAACGCAATGACCGCGACACGCGATTGAGACAAGTCGTCCATGGAGTAGAACTTGTAGAAGGGCGAGTTCTCGTTGATCACGTGGATAAGCGTCGCGGGTAACTTGATCGATGGCCACTCGGCGGTCACGAGAGGCACGTCGTACATCTGCCGAAGTCCCGTGCGACGGTTGGTGAGGATCACGCCAATGCGGAAAAAGTTGTCGTGCACTTCACCGGAGTGCCGCGTATTGGCAGCACGAAACACGAGGCAGCGGTGTCCGTAAATTGTCGTGATGGTCATGTGGGACGAGAAGTGGATGTGCGCTCTCGGTCGAGCAAACTTGGACCACGCGATGCCAGTGATGATTGTGACAGTAATGATTCCGACCATGGACTCAATGAACACGACAACGTTCATGTACACCGAGTCAGGCTTCGGTGCAATGGATCCATAACCGATGGTTGCCAGCGTATGGACACTCATGTAGAACGCTAGCTCGTAATTCGAGACAGCCATGTCGCCGTACACTGCAATGCTGTCCATGTCAAACCAGTACAGCAGCCCGAAGCCAAAATTGATGACCAGAAATGACAGCACAAACACGACAATGATCTTTGGCCACCGCACGTGGAGAGCACTCTGGTAAATCCGCATGAAACTGAAAGACTTGGGAATGTGGACCGGCGTGATCCGCAAGAAACGAGGCGTGTCCTCCACTTCCATCGACACGACGGACATTGTCGTATTAGTACGCTGGCGAAGGTGAGAAGCATCCTCCTCGTCACCACCCTGACCGTGAAAAACATCGGCGTCGTTCGTGGCAATAGGTTCATCTTTGTGCTCCTTTTCTTGCGAACTGGAGCACGTGTCGTCTTTGATCGTCGCAAACTCCGCCATGTCTCGTCGAGGCTGATGTCGCGATCGCAACCTATCGGGATCCTCGAGAGACTTCCATCCTACTTCGTCATGATGTGCATCCCGACTGCTATTCCGGGCACAAGTCTTTACCACATCGCCCGTTGCTACCTGCTCTTCGCTGTGCCTGGCTCGTTCACTCTCCGGAATCAATCGATCGATGTCTCGCCAGATTTGCAAACCTCCTCTTCGAGCAGCGCGTAATTCGGCCGACGGAGCTTTTGGAATTCGCTGTGTTCCGAACGGCTGCTGTAATAATGGCTCGAACAATGGCTCAAGCCCCATCGCAAACTTTTTCGGCCCAGACTTCTTCGGAAGCAGTACAGGAGGGTGGGGTAAGACCGGTTCCTCATCGTCCGTGACGGACGACTGACTATCTCCCGAAACTGGCCCTGAGCTCGCCACGAACTCTTCCGAGCTCACTGATGAGACGTCTTGACCATGACGAGGAAGCCCATCCTTGTGGTGGGAAGGTACGCGTGCTTGTTGCTGCGGGTACCGCCATGCGGCATCTTGCGCGGATACTTCCCCGTCACTCTCGTGGATGCCAGGAGACGTGCTCTCGTTGGGATGAACCGGCTTCAGGTAACGGGCATCGTCGATCGGAGCAGACTCGACAGTGCTCAATCTTGCAAAGTCCATGATGACCTCTGCATTCTGCTCGTTGAACTCGAGCAACTCAGCGAAACGGTATCCCCACATCAGATTCGCAGCAGTGTAGATATATCGCTCCGACACTGTGTCCTGCAGTGTGGAATCCACGCCGGACATGGCGACCTCGACAAGCATATCGGACTGAGCAATGTCGTTCTTTGACATCTTGTACAGCGGACTACTTTCGTCAATCAGGTGTACGACAGCCACACCCATGCGGAAAGTGATGAAGTTATTTTGCTGCAGCTTAAGGTTGTACGACGTCAGCACCTTTGTTGAACAAGCGGGGTCGTCTTCAACGTCCTCGATGCTTTGGACACTTGGCACAGGTGGTCGCGATAGTCTTCGCTTCAGCGTCACTTCGTTGTCATGAGCACGCACGTGTTTCGTCTTGTGCTCCACCCGCAGCAAATTTACCTTGAACGCAGCCTCCATGATAACGTCGTGCGTCACGTCTCGCGATTGTGTGGCATTTGCGACGCGTACAACAAGTGCGAGGTATGTCTCACCATAGGGCTGCACGACGCAGACTTTGCTGAACGCTACCTTTGCTTGCGGTTTGGCGAACTTGGCAAAGACAAGACCTGTGCCAGCCGAGACGACCATCATGGATGCAAACGACTCGACGGACATGGTCACGTTCCCACACGTGTGCGTCGGGTAGACAACACCGAATCCAATGGTCGTGAACGTCTGGTAACTCAAGTTGAAAGCTTCGAAGAACCCCGTTGGATCGCCACAGATATAGCACGTGATTGCTGCAAAGAAAAAGAGGTTCACCATAATGACGGCGAGAAGCACCATGAGTAGCATTGGCCAGCGCATGTTGAGCAGCACGTACAAAAAGTCCTTGTACGGAGTCCTTGGATTGGCATTGGTAATCACGCTTGGAAACAGCGAATTCGATGGCAGGCGAATAAACTGTTTCCAAAACGGCATGTCTTCCACGCGAGACCCTGCATGGAAGATGGACGTGACCTCATCCACGCTGTTCTTCACTTTGACACCGTGCCAAATATGGACCCAATCTTGCAGCGCTGCTGGTACCCGTTGCGTCCCGACATGAAGCGGACCGCGATTCTGAATCCGCTTCTTTGACGCAGGCATGACGTTGACAAATAAAAAGTAACAATAAATAACACCCACGACGGGGAAGCGTCGAGAAGGTCGCGATGGTGATACCAGCTGAGACACTGTGTGATTGATACAGAGAAGGAAGACACGTGAGCGTCTGAACTTTTGCATCATATGGTACAATCGTGGGATTCCACGCTGTGCCTGCATCTGGGCTGGAAACTGAAATCGACCGTACCGAAAAGAGTGCAGCACGAATGAGCGCACGGCGACTGCTGGCGTGTCATGTGAGTGCTCATTTGCGGCTGTTTAACAGCCAATGAGACGAGATCACGACGCTATCGGTAATTGAACAACATACACTTTAACAGCACGCTATCGGTCATTGAAATACATTCGCTTGAACAGCACGCTATCGGACTTGCGTTTCCAGCAAACGTGGGAACATAAAGGCTCGATTAGAGTCGAATGGTGTCATTGGTAAGTAAAAAAAAGCGGCTCGATGTCGCTTCCGACTCGGTGCCATCGGGGTATGCACCAACTGGAAATGGACAATGTGGATCAACTACAAGAATTCCTAATCCTCTCTGGTCGTGTCAGCAATGAAAGTGATGACTATTGCCTGGCGACAAAGCGACTGCGTCAAAAAAATTGCACAGCTGAACAACGGGCATCACGTCCCGAGTAGCAACACCGGTATCTACACGACTTTCGACCGAGACTCGACGACATGGAAGCAGCAGAGATCCAATGTTGCAACGGACTATCCGTTTGCTTGCGCGCAAAGGGTACGATAGCCATATTGCTGTCACTTGCACGGCACAACTCGGCAGGTCATTGTGATAGCTCGAGCAGTTCGATGAGGCGAAACGCTGCAAAGTGGTGCACGAAAGGTCGCTACCCGCCCGCCCCACGTCAAGCGCAACACTTTGCGGGAAAGAAGGGTAGCCTGATATCCATACGGTCTGCGTACGTTCAACAAAGCGCGGCTGTTCTTCCAGGTGGTGGATAGGTCGACCGACCGACCGACTGCCCGATCGATCGATCTCGTTTCGATGGATGTGGCTTGCCATGGCCACACTTGACTGACGCAAGCGCTTCACACGCCCGAGCACACAGTTCGCAACAGTCTCGTTCCGAAACATGTTTGCACGCAGAAAGCCTGGCGTACCGCCGAACCAATGTGCTTACTGGTGGACGACTGGACTCACGCGCTATGCGTCGAGTCGCTCTTTTTTCTGGGTTTTGTTTACCACGTGCATCGTATTGTGCTTCGAATGGTAGTCGCATGTTACGGTCCAGCAGATCGCAGATCAGGCATCTAGACAGTTGACGTCCATCGCCACGACGTGCTGAATACCGTAGCTAGAAGACATGCACGCGTTGCACACGGCAACGACTGACTAGAGACAAGTCGTGCGTGCAGGATAGATACCCGGCGTCCCAAAGGCCCATATTGCAAGTCCTTGACAAGTGCCACGAAAACCACTGCTCGCGCGGCCACCTACGTCGGTATGCCATACTATCGACCGTCCATTGTTTCGAGGCGTTCGTTGTCCAGTACCTCAGAACGACGCAGGCCGCAGTAGCGCTACCGCCTTTTTCTCAGCATCCGGGAGAAACAAACAGGCGCGATAGACGCGTCTCTTCCTTTTCAGTGGAAAGATCGGGGCGGTTACGTCGACAGCTCGTTTTGTGTGTGTGTGTGTGTGTGCGTGTGCGTGTCCTTTTTCCTGGCCGGCAAAGATGTTTCCTGACGTCACTGTCACGTTTGCCATTGCGAGTCCGTACGGTAAGACGGAACCGGCTGCGCGATCATGTCCTTCTCCTCGTTCGTAGCTGTTGCACACATGCGAGCGCCAGTGGCACGAACGATAGAGAGAGAGAGAGACTTTGTTGGCATGTCGTTGCGTGCAAAAGGACTCGCGAGCTGCTCATCAGACTCGATCAACCACAAATGGCTCTCTCGGACGAAACGGCCGACTGACTCGCTACCCCGTGGCCAACCATCAGCAATGCCTCGCAAGCCACACACAGGTACACAGCCACACACCCGCCCTTTGAGCCACGACCACGTGAGTGCAATTCCCTCCATGTCTGCGACAACTGCCAATCGTCGTGCGACCGTTCGACGACCGCCCGGCGTCGTCGCACGGTGGCCGTCGGTTCTCGCGATCGCTCGAGCTCTGTGTATGTTTCTCTCTCTCTCTCTCGGTGTCTCTCTCTGTGTCCTTCTATGACGCCCTCCTGCACGGGACGAGCTGCTGGGGGTTCCCCTTCAAAGAGGCACTTGAGGTGTAGGGGGAGGGGGCGTGTGCCATAGGGCCCTCGTCACAAAAGTCCTTTGGGTTTCCTCCTGTCCCCACTTTCTCGTCGTCGTCGTCGGTGTCGTTGTCGTCGTCGTCCTCTTTCGCCTCAGTCTTTTTGATAACCGCCAGCCGCGAGTCAGATCGCACTTCACTGGGTAACGAACGTCTATTGAGCTGCGCCCGACAGCACCAAACACCTGACCATCGACAGAGAGAGAGAGAGCGAGAGAGAGAGAGAGAGCGAGAGAGAGAGAGAAGAGCTACGGCTACGGCTGCTATTGACTGTGACCACGAGACAGAAGCGACGGCACACGACGCAGCACTCGTCGACCACATCGACCGCTCTACTTGTTGCCGTACGAAAAGGCACAGCCGTCTTCGGGTGGAACGACGCCGACGACCGTCACGAGCGACACGACAGCAGTCCGTCACGTGCGACGCGACACAGTTTCGAGCCACTCGCGGCCCCGTGTCGCCTCTTGTCGCGTCATGACGGAACTCGCACTTTCTTTCGACCGAAGCGGTCGTCGCACAGGTGCGACTACGATTACGAGCAGTAGCAGTAGCAGTAGCAGTAACGGCAGTGAACTGGAGCGCCTGCAGGAGGAGTTGGGCCTCGAGCTCCGGCCGCAGCGCCTGCATCGCCAGTACACGCTGAACGTGCTGCCAGTGCGTGCAAGTCGACGCTCTGTGGCTCGCAGTGGCGTGTTGGACGTGGCCCCCGACGCGCTCGAGGACGTACTGCGTCGATGGGAGACGAATCGCGTCAAGTGGCGTCAGGTGGCGGGAGTGCAGGACGAGACGAGGGCAGGAGAGCTCGAGGACGATAATGGACGAAGCCGGGACGAGGCGGTCCCGATGCTCGAGGAGGGAGGGGCACTGTTTGAGAACGTTCGACGACCAGAGACGTTTGACGTGACGGTGGGCGAGGGACCGCTTGGGTTGGAGGTCGGGATTGATCCGCTGACGAACACAGTTGTGGTCAAGAGGGTGCAACTAGAGACGTGGACGAAAGCCGTCGTGTCGCGGAGGACTTTGGGGACGCGCGTGAAGAAAGGAGTGGTGGTCGAAGCCGTGAATGGCCAGGGCTCCATGTCGGTCGCAGACGTGCTGGAGAAGCTGCAGTTCAGCAGACGACCTATGACCGTGACGTTCCAACGAGCGACGAGGGTCGTGTGTAAACTCTGCGAGACAAAAGTCGACGCAGCCAACTTGGATCGACACATCCACTACTGCGTCTTGTCCAAGCGCGTCGAGCTCGAAGCGGATGTGATCAACGACTCGCTGGTGAAGCTAGCAGCGTCGATCGATGCCGTGCTAGCGACCGATCCACTAATCAAGCTGGACGAGTTGCATGCGTACCATGCACTGCGCATGGCAGCTGTTCAGACTTCGTCGTGTGACGTGACGAGCGTGGATGCGTTTGCACTCTGTGCTCGACTCGTGAAACTCATCGATCGAATACGACAACAGGAAGCGCCATTGGATCTGGACGTGAACGGAGTGGCGTACTGTATCAAGCTGCGCAACTTGATCCACGCGAAGATGAGCAAAATGCGGGCATCGCACAAGGTCATGTTACAGCAGGCTCCGCTTGCGATTATGCGGTCGCCGTTGAAGCGAACCAAGTCACTCGAGAGCATCAAGAACAGAAGTTCACTTCGATCTCGAAGACGCTCGAGCTTGAGACCGACTTCATATCGAGTCTCGATTCGTGATTTCCAAATCGTCAAGCCAATCTCAAAGGGCGCGTTTGGCAAAGTATACCTTGCTCGGAAGAAGACGACTGGTGACCAGTACGCGATAAAGGTGCTTGCGAAAGAACACTTGCTTCGCAAAAAACAGGTACGGTATCTTTCCTGCTTTATCGTGTGCTCGCAGGCGCAGTGCTACCGACTGAGCATTTGCGTGGTCACTTTTGTTTCGCTCCAGATCCAGCAGATTGAGACAGAGCGGAATATCTTGGCTAGTGTGGTGAGCCCTTTCGTCGTGAAGTTGTTCTGGACGTTTCAAACCAAGTAAGCAAGTGTGATTTTGTCCATGAGAATACGCCTCGCGTGTAAACGACGAGCAACGACTTATCTCTGCGGCTGTGTTCGGGTCTTGGCTAGGCGCAATCTGTTTTTGGTGATGGAGTACCTTCCTGGTGGTGATTTCATGTCGTTATTAGAGTGCATCGTGCAGCTGGAAGAACAGGTACGAGCGTGTGTTGCTATTGTGACACAAATACCGCCTTGTTGACAGAACTGACGACTGCTTTTGTTGATAGGTGGCATGTGTGTATATCGCAGAGATTGCGATCGCGCTCAACCACTTGCACACGAAAGGCTGTGTTCACAGGTTCGAGATGTGCAAAGGGTGATCGTCGTATCGAGTGTTGGTCTGATCCGCTTCTGTCTCTCCGTTTGTGTGTGTCGATTGGCTTATCATTGTACAGAGATCTCAAGCCCGACAACATCTTGCTTTCGTCTACCGGCCATGTCAAGGTTTGTTCACGTTTCGATCTTACCGACGCTGTCGTCGTGCTGATCCCACTTTCGATGGCTAACGTGGTGCTGTATATTCTCTACTTCTTCAGTTGACCGACTTTGGCTTGTCCGAGGACGCTGTCACGCTTAGCGATGCTGACTCGGAACCAGACGATGTATGTCTGGCCGAAGGCAGCGAGATGCGGGATGGCAGTTCACTGGATGCGTTGCCGTCTTCGCTGGAAGACGGTCGCCCGCCTCGCATGTTCGCGCCTAAGCGAAACGTGAAAAAGAAGTCTGCGTATCATACGTATGGACGATGCGGCACTCCAGATTACCTGGCACCGGAGATCATTCTCGGTGCCCCACATGGTCCACCTGTGGACTACTGGGCACTAGGCATCATTCTCTACGAGATGATGGTAGGGTTCCCTCCGTTCAACGATGACACTGTGGATGCCATTTTTGGAAACATCTTGGAACGGCAAATTCTATGGCCTGATGGTGAAAAGTGTTTGTCGTTCGAAGCAGTGGATTTGATCGATAAGTTGCTTGATTCGAACCCCGAAACGCGCATGGGCTGGGAGGGAATCAAGGAGCACCCGTTTTTTGAGGGTATCAATTGGGACACAATTTTGGAATCCGTGCCTCCGTTTGTGCCGACACTAGAAGGGCCGACCGATACCAGCTATTTCAATAACCGCAACCTCACGGACATATTCATTGACGACAGTGACTTTGACGTTGGTCCTCGCTCAGCATGCAGTAGTCAGAACAACAATGACTCTGGGTCTGAGTGTGACGGTCAATCGCTGGGTGCATCCGATACGAAAGCAGACGAGGGCTTTGCTCAGGACAACAATGCTAGCAATGCTTCTGCTGCGACTGCAGATGTTGATATCTCCTGGGGGACGGCAGCAGGGACACTAGACACAATGGGTGCTACGAATAAGGAACACATTGGCTATGGCTTACAGACGGGAGACCGCAACAATCATTGTCGATTTCCCAGTGGAATGTACGGAAGCTCGGATGACTCGAGTCTCTGTGACGCCTTCAGGTCTTTCAGTTTCACCAATATGAACGCGCTTGCTGCTGCATCTCAAGCCGAAGCTGTAATGATGGCGGACAGTGCACAGCAAAGCGCAGGGGCAGAGTTTGGTCCATCGATCTTCATCTAGCTTCGGTGGAAATTGCCTGGGTTCTTGTCGTTGCCCTCATCGGTTTCCGAGCTTGCCAGCGTACGATAAAAGTAATACATTGCAAGAACCGCGCGACGTCAAACATGCCAAAGTCTGCCAGCAGCAGCGCCCGACTTTTCTGTAAACGGTCGTTTGTACTATATACCAGCTGTTACAGGAAAAAGTCGTCCTCTTCTTCTTCCTGCTCCTCGTTCTTCTCACTCTCCTCCCGTGCTGTCCCTGGCATGCCATCGTCATCATCTTCTTGATCGACGAGAGCCGGCGTGTATTGCTGCTTTTCTCCAGACTTGTCTCGCTTGCTTCGTGTCTTCTTCTGCTTCTTCGCCATTTCCTTCGTCGGATTCTTGAGCAAAAGGTCAACAGCTGACTTCGTCGCCCTTGCAGGGCCCGAGTCCGCAGTCTCGCCGTCGTTGAAACAAAAGTGATGAAATGCCTCTTCGGGCTGTTCCTGTTCGAAACGGGCAATCGCCTCCGCGCGGAGTTCATCCTGACGCGTTTGCTTCTTCTCGGAGTGGGAAGTCGACGGGTACAGTGAAATGTATGTCTCGCTTTTCGGGTAGTAGTATATGTACATCATCTGCTCGCGATACGTCATGAACTTCTTTTCGTACACAGCCTTTTCTGCTTCATCCTTCGCCTGTACACGCAATCACCGTCAACGCATGTACTTACACTTTCTCATCGTATGACAGCACAAAGATGGCTAGTTACCTGCTCGATGCACTTCTTCGTCTGACTCAACTTTCGCATCACTTTCACACGCTCGAAAAAGCGCGGCTACGAAACGACGATACAACGGAGTCCGTAAGTAACATCTGATATCCATTATACTGTGTATACAGAACAAGTCGCGCACGAATGTGCATTAATTCAGGAAAAAAGCACCACCACTTGATAAACTCACCCTCTTGCACTTTTCGACAATCTTCTTCTCCACTGCAGCTTGACTCTTTTGCTTGTACTGGCAATAGCAAACAACACGTAAGTCCGTTCAGTCAGGTCGTCAGCAAAATAACAAAAGAAGACCCGACATGTCAATGGCAATTCAAACAACACGCACTTCTTCCTGGAGTTGCTGCAGTTCTGCTTTCTTGGCCCGTCGCGTAGCATCAGCGATTCCCTGCACAAATATGAAATTTCAAGATTATCAGTTCTCACAGACAACAGCTTGTGACTGCCATATGGTGTGGTCCACACATGCACACACGCGCGTACCCCGCGACTGAGGAAGCGCTCGAGGCCCCGAATGCGATTTTTCAGCGACGGACTCTTTTTCGCGTGCTGCACTTTCTTCGATCGTGCGTTCTTGAAGCGAAGGCGCGTGCCTGTTGTGACAGCAATTCACTGGTGTTAGAGCTACCGAATGGCTCGCAGGAGGACGCGACGCGACGAACCTGCTGTGGGTGCCATGTTCGTGCCGGATAACGGGACGGTTGGGTGGTGGGGCTTGAGTGCGTGGTGTGAACACATACATCGGCGCGAGTCGCGTGTTTGTGGGAAAAATCAATTGATGCAGGTTTTGCATTGGCCCAAAACGATGTGTCCCACGCCTGTGAGTAAAAGGCCGATTAGACGGGCGTTAAGCCGGGAGAGACACGTTAGGGTTGCATGGAGGGTTACGCTGTAAATGAGATGTGTAGCCTCAACCGATTCGGTCTAGCGCCTCAGTTCGTGTGGTCCACACGACTTGAGGGCGAAATGGACGTAAATTTTTCGGTCACAATTTCGTCGCATGCGAGGAAAAGCTCCATGTCATACCGGTACATTCATTCTTTGCCAAGGTCGACGGCTAGAAGACCGCTGTTATCGTTCTTGGATCAGGCACTCGTGCGATCCACGCTCACTTTTTCGCTTTTCAGCATCCGATGTTGCTGGCAACGCGCTTGCCTACACAACTGTCTTGCTACACTACGCACGCCAATGGCCGAGAAAAAGCCAGGATGTCCACTTGTGGGATCTCGTCGGTCACTCTATCTTTTCTCGACGAGACTGAATGGCTTATCAAGAGGAGAAGAGTCATACAGCACTTGCACTCTATAACTGCACGCCGGCCACCTCTATATTGAAGCTCGGGGGGGGGGGGGTGAAATAAGTTTCATTACACTGTTATCCATCAAAAAGCCTTGCTACCGTACTTCGTTTGTCAAAGGTAGAGAGGTAAATCAGGAGTGATACTCAAAAAGGAGTCCAAAGGAAAAAGTGTGAGTAAAAAAAGAGTGAGTAGCTATAGAAAGAGAGGAAGGGCAACCAAGGAAGAGGCGAAGAGAAGCACGACAACCAAAAGAGCGGGCACGGCGAATGAAAGTGAAGAGTGCCCTGGGTTATGGGAAGACAACCCGGAAAGGCAGACCAGCCTACAGTACCGCTGCACCACGCACAGAAGTCATGTCTTTTCGGTTTAGTGGTTAGGCGCCACGAGTTTGCGGAGGTGGCACGGGTTCAAATTCCGCACACACCAAGAGCTTGACCATAGGAACTGCTTGCGGTAAACCCCTCCGGGTGCTGTCGTGTGGGAGTAGTTACTTGACCCTTGTACGAAAAAGGAGGTCCGTAACCCAAGTCCGGTTGGGGTCCACACTGAAAACCTCCCATAGGAGGCGGCCGGTAGTAGTACTGTAACGGTTGTAGCCGGAGGCGTTAGGGGCACAGCACATCGTTAGTACCTGATCCCCTCAAAAAGACTTCGCAACAAGTGACTCAAATCGGCGTAAGCCGTGGCCACAAACATGCGCAAACAGCAATACGATAGTCCAAAATGAAAAAAATCGTACAAAAGGTTCCATGTCGGTGGCGAGTGCAAAAGGCAATGTCCAATGCGAGGACGGAACTTGTTCAAGTAAGCCGTCGCAGAGAATGGAGCCACAGAGTTATGCAGGACAATTGAATGCCATTGCATACCGGAAGAGGGGTCCGCGGGTAGGCGAAGGTATAGAGTGCCGCAATGTAAGTGGAGTAGCCAATAGATCAAGTGAGAAATGGCAGGGGACACCCTAAAATACCGCATCTCCAGGTCGACCTGGCAATCCAGCGTCAGGCAGGGATCCGGTAGGCTGAAACTGCCGTAGATGGAGAGCAGAGAGCAAAGTGAGGAGTTGTTGCAATGAGATACTGGAATGACGTAGGCTGCGGCTGGCCAAGTCTTGAGAAAAACGGTCGGTATGGATACAAACAACAGCGTAAATCCGAGCTTGAATACCAAGAAGGTATGACGCAGCGTTATTAAACCAAATATCATTTTGATGAATCAAAAGACAGCGAAGGATGAACGCCCGAACAATATGAAAAATCACGAAAAGACTATATCCATACGTCAGCTGCGCACCCGGTGTCGGCACCACATGGAATAGCAGAACCGACCGCCAGTCGAGCGGGGAACCAAACAGAGGTGTAAAACGATTGAGACAGGGGCCAAACTTGAGTCGAAAAGGGACAGTACCAAAAAAGACAAGGCGCCGTCTCCAGAACACCAAAGCCATGATGACAAAGAACGTCAGCCCCGGGAAAGTGTTGTAACCGGTATCCCAGATAGAGAGCGTTGTGCTGGAGACGCTAAAGGAAGTCGGCATAAACCGACAATAAATATTTCCGCATCTTAGAGTCTCGAGTCCACATAGCAGACGGTGGGCCCGAGTCGAGGCCCAAACGGGACAGCGGTAACACGGGGGCGGCCGCTTTGTCAATAAGTTTTCGAATGCGCGCCACACTGAGGTCAGCCAAGTCAAAAGCACCAAAACGCCAGCAATGAAATGCGCTGAAATAGCGAGGTGTTTGAATCGGGCCGATAGGGTAAGTACATAAAGGCGCCAAAAGGCAGTGAATACGAGCCAGGAAAGCAGAACAAGCTCCAATTCCAGAGACTCAGCACCTGCTGAAGGAGCGGAGATAGAGGAAGAGCGTAGTCCCCGTAATCGAAGGACCACAACCGCTAAACAAATCATAGGGACATAAAGTTCGAGATCGGCTAAGAGAGTCGTCAATACGGACCGCCGGTAATTCCCAGCTAGTGGGCGTCCAGAATTTTTTGAAGTGAGGTCATTATTGACAAGTACCGGCGCGGTAAGTTTGTCAAACTTATTATTCATGCGGATGACCGATGGGCGTAGACGGGTATGCCAGACAAATAGGGCCGAATGCCAGTAGGGTCCGAGAGCTGACCAGCGGCGAGGAGACGACGACATTGGAGAACCTGGGCCGGTCGCAATTGGCGAATAAAGTATGTAAAAATCATTTTCATAAGGAGAGATAGCTTGATCGAACATGCGAATGACAGGGTCCACCCACGTGGGAAGGCCCATAAAAGTGTGAGCCCTGGCCGCCAAAATAACTTTGCATAGCATATGGGCTTGTAAGCTATGGACCATGTCGCATACCTTATTGCGGCCTAAGCCGCCTTGTACAGGGGGAAGAAACCATTAGTCTTTAGAAAAAGCATTTTTAGACTTATCCTTGCAGATAAAGCGCGATATGAGGCGGGTGACTTGATCTTGAAAACCTGTCGCGGGAACGTGACAGACACTGGCCGAGTACCAGAGTACGGGTAAAATAATTTGCTGCAGAATCACCACTTGGCCCCGAAGGGTGCGCGCGCGGTGACACCAAAGGGAACAGCGCGTCTGCATGTCGGCCAGCAAATGCTGGAGCCGGGCGGTAGGGCAAAGCAGAGGTCCATATTAAATACCAAGGAGCTTGGTCCGCCCGCAGGAACCCACGACATCAACTCCCAATTGTTCGAGGTCAAGACGAAGAGGCTCAGAATACTCAGACCAGGGCCGAAATGGCAGAACCACTGTCTTTGCCTCATTGAGCCGCATGCCGGTCGCCGAACAAAAAGTCTTGACGTCACAGAGAAAGTCTGGAGTGAGGCGAAGGTCGTGCAGCAGACCGGTACATTCGTCTGCAAAACTGATTACCGAATGCGTCGAAGAACCATAACGGAGTCCTTTACCCTGTAGTTTGAAGCGAAGATAATCCACTAAATGCTTAATAAAAAGGACAAACAACGCCGGCGATAAGGGGTCTCCCTGAAAAACCCCTGACCCTAATTCAAACGGAGCCAAAGGGCAGCCGTTGAACATCAAGGTTTCAAGGGTGTTGGGATATATATCCTGTTTCCAACGCCGAAAGGTAGACCCGAACCCAAAGTGCATAAGCACCATGTCTAAAGCCGGCCAAACAACGCTATCAAAAGCTTTGGCGAAATCAAGTAAGACAGCCCCAGCCGGTGAAGCGGAATCATATTATAGGGAAGCAAGCGCTTGGAACCGATGATGGGCTGTCCAAATATTGCGCCCCGGCACAAATCCATATTGTTCCGAATTCAAGAGAGAGTCCAAAACCCGACCAAGCCGGTGAGCTAAAATTTTGGGTCCCAGTTTAGCGTATACATTAAGGAGGGAAATAGGGCGATCATTGCTGGGTGACAAGCGGTCGCCCTTTCATAGAGCAGAGAAATTTGAGCTCGTCGCTGGAACTTAGTCATCTTGCATTTGTGAAATTGGGCGCCGTAGACCACCTCGAAAATGTGGCTCCAAGTGGGCAAGTCGACGTGGTAGTAATCAAGCGGCAAGCCATCCGGTCCTGGCGTCTTACCGAGCGCAGTGTGTTTCAGAGCCCAAAAGAAGTCGTTTGCTGTCAAGGGGCTGTCCAAATAAACCTGGTCTGTCGGAGACAAGCGAGGTGTAGTGTGCTCTAACAACCAAGAAAGGCCCATGCGGTCCCAAGTAGGCCGCGCATGCTGGTATTCGCGGGAAGGCGAGCAGTATATACCAGACAATATTCGTTAAATGTAGAACAGGTAGAGTCCAAATCGTCCGCCGAGTCCACAGGGATATATGATTTGTGGAGAACATGGGGTGTCGAAAAAAATCGTGAGCAACGCTCAGTAGCTTGAATGTCGGAGGCGAATTTGCGCCGAGAAGCTAACTACACGGACTCCTCTAATTTTACGGATAGGGTCGCCTTCGCAGAAGCAGAAGCAAAAGAAAGGTCCACCGAAGGGTCCAAAACCTTCCGATGGCGAAGTCGGTTGACGACTAAATGGAGATCTTCGATAGCACGGAGACGTGCATTCTTTTGGACGAGAAACAACCCGCGAAGAAAGATGGAGTCTTGCCGTTTATGCTCACCGAGCAAGCATCCGGGATTCGAGCGCCGCAACATTGGATTAAATGACGCAGCAAGTCGGAGTAAGGAAGTACGTAGATATTCCTGAGCCTCAGGCAAGTGGATAACCCATGAAGGGCATTTCCAAGGATCACGGCCCGGAGGCTTAGAGGTATTGGAGCCGAGACGAAAGAATAAACCAATGTGACCCCCCCCCGTTCAAGATTGAGCCTTAAAATCGTGGGAAACCGTGTTAAAAACGGAGCTAAAAAGTCCATAATTCACAAAAAGATAGTCAATGCGAGAAT